TCTCCAGGATATGGAAGTGGGCAAGATTTCTTGAGTAATACCCTATAACCACAGGCAACCAAAGCAAAATGGGCAAATGGGATCACATCAAGTTAAACTTCTGCACAGAACAGGAAAACCAAGTCAGGAGACAGCCCATAGCACGGGGGAAAATATTTACAAACTGTCCATCCAACAGGGATTAATAACAAGAATATATAGGGAGCCCAAACAACTCTATAGAAAAATCTAGTAATCTGATTGAAAAATGGGAGAAAGATCTGAGTAGACATTTCTCACAAGAAGCCTACAGATAGCAGATAGATATTTGAAAAGGTGCTCAACATCACTGATCATCAGAGAAATGCAAATCAAAACTACAATGAGATATCATCTTACCCCACTTAAAACGTGTTTTATCCAAAAGACCGGCAGTAACAAATGCTGGTAAGGATATGGAGGAAAGGAAACACTCTTACACTGTTGGTGGAAATATAGATTAGTACAGCCACCATGGAAAACATTTTTTCCTCCACACACACAAAACCCCCAAACAAACAAAAACTGAAAATAGAGCTATCACATGATCTAGCAACCCACTGCTAGGTATATACCCCAAAGAAAGGAAATCAGTATGTTGAAGAGATATCTGCACTCTCATGTTTATTGCTGCACTATTCGCTATAGTCATGATTTGGAAACAACCTAAGTGTCCATCAACAGATAAATGGATAAAGAAAATGGAGTCCATATACCCAATGGACTACTCTTCTGCCATAAAAAAGAATGAGATCCAGTCATTTACAACAACAGGGATGGAACTGGAGGTCATTATGTTAAGTGAAATAAGCCAGGCAGATAAAGGCATGCTTCACATATTCTCACTTATTTGTAGAAGCTAAAAATTAAAACAGTTGAACTCATGGAGACAGAATAGAATGTTGGTTACCAGAGGCTGGGAAGTGTGTTTGGGTGGCAGTAAGGCAGAAGTGGAGATGGTTAATGACTACAAAAAAATAGAACGAATGAATAAGTAAGATCTAGTATTTAATAGCTTAGCAGTGTGACTATAGTCAATAATAATGTCATTGTACATTTAAAAATAACTACATAAATATAATTGGATTGTTTGTGACACCAAGAATAAATGCTTGAGGGAAGTGGTCACTCCATTTATCCTGATGGGATCATTACACATTGTATCCTGTATCCATATGTTCTACATCTCATAAATATATGCACCTACTATGTACCCACAAAAACTTAAAATTTAATAATAAAAATTAAGTGTATATCTACATACTATCAATGAGCACTTGGACACTAAAATCAAAAATAAAATATAATTTAAAGTTGCTCAAAAAAATAACACAGTTGTCAATCTAACTAAACATGTATTGGATCTAAAATGCTAATGGAAGAGGTCAAAGAAGTTCCTTATAAATGGAGAGACATACTGTATTCATGGACAGACAGGAAGACTCAGAATTGATAGAGATGTCAGTCCTCCCCAAATGGATATACAGGTTTAATGTAATTTCTGTCAAAATCTCAGTCTTTTTTTAGATACAGACAAGTTTATTCTAAAATATAAATGGAAAGGCAAAGGAAATAGAATAACTAAAACAATTATGAAAAGGAAGAATGAAGTCATAGCAATTAGTCTGCTTGATATCAAATGTGCTAATTTACATTATTGTGGCTTTATTATATAGTCAAAAAAATAAAGACTGTGTGGTGTTGGTGGAGGAATAGAATCATAATTTAATGGGACAGAAGATAGAACCCAGAAATAGATCCACAAGTGTGCCCAACTGATTTTTGACAAAAGCAATTCAATTTGAAAGCAGTCCAATGGAGGGGAGTTAGCCTTTTCAGTAAATGGTTGAGGAGCAAGTGGACAACCAGCGGTATGCAACCTAACCTCAACCTGAACCCCACACTTTATACAAAAAAATTAAACCCAAATAAATCAGAGACTGAAATGGAAAACATAAAGCAATAAAACCTTTAGGGAAACAAAAAAACAGAAAATTTTCCAAATATAGAGCTAGGCAAAGAGACATCAAAGCAAGATCCCTGAAAAAGAAAAAATGATAAATTCGACACCATCAAAATGAAAATTGTTTTCTTTGCGAAAAAGCCTGATAGAGGATGAAAGAACAAACTACAGAGAAAATATTTGCAGACCCTGCATTTTAAAAAGGACTGGTATATAGAATATATAAACGACTCTCAAAACTCCGGAATAAAAAAAAAATGCAAACCATTCAGTTAGAATGTGAACTCAAGACAGGGACAGAGGGACAGATGTTTCACTGAAAAGGGTATATAGATGGCAGATATGCACGTTTAAAAAAAGTTCAGCCCCATTAGCTCTAGGGAAATTGAAATGAAAACCACAATGAGATGTCATTCACCTATTAAGATGGCCAAAGTAAAAAATGATGACAACACTAAGTGATGGTAAAATTTAAGTGAAACTGGATCTCTTATCCATTGCTGGTGGGATTGTCTGGCATTCTAGAAAATGGTTCCTAAGAAACTAAACATGCAGCTCATACCATCCAGCAGTGGTACACAGAGAAGTGAACAATTCACACAAAAGCATGTACATGAACGTTTATAGCAAATCTGTCCAACTAGCCAAAAACTAGAAATGATCCAGATGTCTTTGAGTGGTTAGACAGGCTGTGATACATTCTTTCCATGGAATACTACTCAGCAACAGAAAGAATTGATTATTGATGTATATAACAATCTTGATGAGAATTATGCTGAGTCAAAAAGTCAGTCATAAAGTATCACATACAGTGATTCCATTTATATAACATTCTTTTAAAAATTATTTTTATTTTGAGACAGGGTGTCACTCTGTCATCCAGCCTACAGTGCAATGGCACATTCTCTACTCACTGCAACTTCTGTCTCCTGGGCTCAGGTGATCCTCCTACCTCAGCCTCTTGAGTAGCTTGGATCACAGGCGCACACCACCACACCTGGCTAGCCCACCACCATACCTGGCTAATTTTCTTTGTATTTTTTGGAGAGGTGGCATTTTACCACATTGCCCAGGCTGGTCTCAAACTCCTGAGCTCAAGTGATCCGCCTGCCAGGGCCTTCCGAACAAAGTGCTGGGGTTACAAGCAGCACTGCGCCCAGCCCTATATAACCTTCTTGAAATGACAAAATTACAGAAATAGAGGATAGATTCATAGTTATCAGGGATTAAGAAAAGTGTTGGGGGGAATGGTTGGAAGGGAAGCAGGTATGACTATACCAGGGCAACCTGAGGGACCCTTGTGCTAATGAAAATGTTTGTATCTTGACTGTATCAAGTTATCATGGTGTACTATAGTTTTGCAGGATGTTATCATTGATAAGATATAGGTAAAGGGTACATGAAATCTCTCTGTTCTTTTAACTACATGTGAATCTACGTTATTGATATATATAACAATCTTGATGAAAATTATGCTGAATGAAAAACCGTAATAAAAACACAGTTTTTTTCTTAATCATGCATCATCTCCTCCCCAGCAATGATCATTGTTACTATCTTACTGTGTAGGAATAGTGCAGACTATGGCTTTTAGTGCAAAACTCTCTGGGTTTAGTTCCCAGTTCTGTGATGTCTCAGCAGAGTGTCCTTAGGCAAATTGCTTAACCTTTCTATTATCAGTTTTCTCATTTTTAATACAGGGAGCAATAATTTTAATGCTAATAATACTACTCTCATAGTGTTATTGTAAGTATTAAATAAATTTTAACATGTAAAAGAACAGATTCTGGCAGTCATATGTGTTCACATAAGTAGCATTGGTGGTGGTGATGGTGGTGGTTGCTATATTACCTTTTGCTATTTTTCTTTTAACACAGTTGCCAAGACGTGTATACATTTGCACATTCTGTTTTTCTCTTAAGCCATATTTTTTTTTAACAATTAATAAGATTAGAATCAATAGTAAAGACCTTTGGCAACCCCTCTGCCCTGCCAACTCCCAAATTTACAACTGAAATGTCAGAGTTCAAAAAAAGTTTTAAGTTACTGTCTAAACTTAATTTTAAAAAAAATTTCTTGCTTTCATGCTAGTTTTTAGCCAGAACTACTGGGCTGGAGTTGTTTGCCCCACCCACTTAGCTGCATGGTGTCCCGGGGGTTCAAGCAGAACTTTGTCCTAGCCATTGCTTTGGGAAGCACAAAGGCTGAATGCTTACAGCCATTCTGGTGACATTTCTAACATGATTGAATGGTGATATCTTTGGGAATGTGTCTCTACACAATCAGATCTGCAGAGCCCCAGTCACCATCTGTTGAAATACTTCATCTAGAATTGAAATATACTCCTTAGAAGGCAGTTGAGTGACATGTTTAGCCTCTCCGTTTCAAGGCTTTGGGTTTTCTAATTCTCCAAAATGAAAAAAATAAAATAAAACAGAGCCCAGATTCTATTTATGACAGGTAATTTGGGGCTGCCTTCTTTATGTCCATAGCATAATTTAGGACACCATGATTTAATGATGTGTATTAGTAGTTTTGAGTCATTTATGTGAGTTAAGGTAGTTTCATGCTGTCATGAGAATTCTTGTGTAATATGATGAGTGAAATAGCAGCCCTCTTTGTGAGTTTCACCATCCAAGATTCAAATCAGAGACAAATTTAAAATAAATTGAAGTTTTCCCTGTGGCAAATGCAAAGACTAAAATAACCTAGACAAGGGTAGATGGTATAGGCAAGGGGTATCATTTGTAACTTGTATTTCAAAGATAAAACTGTTGTTACTTTTTAAGCTTTGAGTAATTGAATAATCACATATTAGGTAAGTAAAAAGCCTACCCAAGACCTTCCCCAAGCCATTTATAATCTAAACTCAGGCTTTCTTTTGCTTTGGATTTGCTGTTGGAAAGTATCTTTGCTGTGGTTAAGGAAGAAATACTCAAGAGTGTGTAGCTCTGTCTTTGGGCTCCTTGCTTTTTTTTTTTTTTAAAACAAATTTCTTATTTTTGTTTCTGGATTGTAGCCATAACACGAAAACAACTTCTTGGTTAGACCCTCGGTGCCTGAACAAGCAGCAGAAGCCTCTGGAAGAGTGTGAAGATGATGGTAAGGGGCCAGACAGGTCTTGGGTTAAGTGAATGGGGGGCAGTGTTCACATGTGCAAATTTTAGAGTCGTAGACAGGTCAGTCGGGTCTTAGATTGAGTTTTCAAAAGGTAATCCAATTTCTGCTAAATGGACTTTCATTTACAAAAGCAGGAGGAAAGTCAGAATTGTTTCAAGAGAGCAATTTGCTTACACATACTGTAAAGACAGATGCATACTAATATCTCCATTAGAAGCAGAACAGTCAGAAACTATTCAAATGAAGATACATCCTCTGTCTTCAGGAAGTTAGAGAACATTTTAGAAATTCCCTAGGAATACAGAAACCAAAGATGCTCTGGTTACTCACACATTCTCAACCTTAACCCTATCTTATAAAAGTCTTAGGGGGGAAAGGTTGGGAGTTTTTCTTGAACTCTACATATTTCATAACTCTATTACTTCCCTAGACTTGGAGGTAGGGGAAACAGATCTAGACATGTTTGAGAATCTCTGTGTCACTTACAGTATACCCACAATATATAAGTGTATTCTTTTGAGACAGAATTTGAAGTGTTGCATAGAGCACCACTCTCCCTATTAATCTTGGAAATGAACTAACTGGCTGTAAGAGCTTTTGTTGAAAAAGTTCATTTCAAGGTTTTAGGTTTTGTAATTACTGTTCCAAAATGAAAAAGATAAAGTAAAACAGAGCTAGTGTATCCCTTTTTCATTACACAGACATCTATACCAAGTTCTACCAAAATTACTTTTTGATGTAGAAGAATGAAAAGGGAAATGGTTTGCTTTGCTTTGCTACTCATTATTCAGTTCTGGCGTGTGAATTGATAGTATAATTATTAAATAAGTATTTTACTGTAAGATAACAGAACTTAGTAATTTGTCCTATAGTGAAGAATTGTTGTGTATGTAAGCTTGAAGATTTTTTGAAAATGCAAGGCAGTGTTTAAAAGTCTAATACTGTCAAAACCTTCTACTTCATGATCCTGCTATTATACATGGTTTGCAGATTACATTAAATGACATAGAATATTGTGTCGGTATTTATCTGAGTTATTTCCAATGGAAATACAAGCCCTTCTAACTTAGAAGACATGACCAGTAATCTTGTTTTATTTTGGTTGCTTTGTTTAATTCCTGAAGAAGGAATGGAACAGGTTCAGTCAGCCCTGGTATTTTGCATGCTTGTGAGAGAATGGACTGTGCTGATTATTTCAGTATTCTGTTGAACATATGATACTTGTTGAGTATCCCTGATCCCAAAATTCGAGTCCATAATGCTCCAAAATTGGCCAGACACAGTGTGGCTCACACCTGTAATCCCAGAACTTTGGGATGCTGAGGCGGGAGGATCACTTGAGCCCAGTAGTTCGAGACCAGCCTGGGCAACATGGTGTGACCTTGAGTCTACAAATAATAAAATAAAAATTAGCTGGGCGTGTTGGCATGTACCTGTGGTCCTAGCTACTTGGGAGGCTGAGGCAAAAGGATCATCTGAGCCCAAGAGGTCGAGGTTGCAGAGAACTATGATTGTGCTACTACGCTCCAGCCTGGGTAACAGAGAGAGACCCTGTCTTAAAAGAAATGAGCAAAACAACAACATGCTCCAAAATCCAAAACTTTTTGAGTATTGCCATGATGCTCAAAGGAAATTCTCACTGGAGCATTTTGGAGCTTGTGTTTTTGAATTAGGAATGATGAGCCAGTAAGTATATTACACAAGTATCTCCAAATCTGAAAATATGAAAAATTTGAAACCCTTTTGATTCTGACCATTTTGGATAAGGACTACTCAACCTGCACATAAATAACTAATTTTCAAAGATCAGAACGTAAAACACATTCAACCCTAAAACTTCGTGGAACAATGATTTATTCATTATTTGTTGCCCTATGATTTTGAAAGCAATTTAGGCACTTATTACCATAGGGTTTTCAATGTCAATATCCTTTTTGTAATTATTCTGGGAATGTATAAAAATGCCTGTTGATACAATTTTATAAATCATAGAATACTGCAATAGTTTTTACTGAGAAAAACTCTATGTAGAGTAAAAATATTGAGTGGAATTAACATTTTGTTACCAAATCTGGTAATTTTTAATTCTTAAAATTCTTTTGTGTTAATGTTATTTCCTTTGGAAGAAGAATGTATTCATATCAAATGCAGTTAGTTTAGTAATTATCTCTTTAATATTAGAATTCACGTATTTTATTTCTGGTAGAAATTCTATGTATATCTGTGTGCCTGTACACACAAACAGTATAAACACATAATCAGATTATAAGTATCAGTTTGTATTTTCTGTTGCCAGTTAACGCAAAGCTGCCTTGTTATTGTGTTTATATTATAACACAAAGCAGAAAAACATATTGTTTGCAAATATTGTCCCTGTATTTGTTTCTGTTCTCTGTTAGTGAATGACTCCTTCTGTCATTGCTGTGTCCGATTCAGTTAGCAGTCCTCAACCTTGCCTTTGAACTCCAGGCCAATATTTTAATCCACTTAATTGATAATGTCAGCTGGTTTTCTCAGAGACTTCAGACTCAGTCATATTAAAACCAAACTTATGATCTTTCCCCCCAAATCTGGTCCTCTCTAAATGTTTCCTGTCTCCATTCGTGGTAAATTTATGCATACTCAAAATTCCCCCTTGATCTGTCACTTTTCTTCACACCTATTTCTAACTTGTGAACCAGCTGAATTCACTTGGCATCCTAAATATCCCTGGGATCCATTCATTATTTTTTTCACCACATCTACCATTTTCATCTGGGGTCATGCTCATCTCCCATACAGATTCTTTTCACTCTCCTTTTTATGTTACACTGGGAGCAGTCTTTTAAAATGTAAATATGATTATGTTATCGCTGACAACCTCCACAGGGTCTGCTTAGGAAATGCCAGGTCCATAGCTTGCTTCTCTGAGCCCTGTGTGGTCAGCCTCTCTAAATTTTCTCACACTATTTCTCTGCTTTCTGCTCTTCATCCCTACTAGTCCTCATTGAGTTCCTGCCTCATGTCAGTTAAATGTGCATATTTCTCTCTTAGGATACTCTTATATTTCACAATAGTTATTGAATACTTTCTATATGTCAGGTGCATCCTAGGTATTTCAAATGTGTCAATGATATAACAGACATTAAACTTTGCACATCCTTCAGGTTGTACTTCAGGGAATTTTTCCTTCATTTTGCCCCCAAAGATATGATTAGGTCACTCATGTAGCTTACTCTATTGAGAACTTATCATGGTTTTATTTTTCATTTTATTTGTGTGAGCTTTGGATTTGTCCCCTGTTCTGGAAAACTAGAGATGTGTGTGTGTGTGTGTGTGTGTGTGTGTGTGTGTGTGTGTGCGTGCGCGCGCACGCGCACGTGCGTGTGCGTTTGAGCTGGAGTCTCTCCTGTGTTATGCAGGCTGGAATGCAGTGGCACTATCTCGGCTCACTGGCACCTCTGCCTCCCCATTCAAGTGATTCTCCTGCCTCAGCCTCTCAAGTAGCTGTGATCACAGGCAAGTGCCACCACGCCTGACTAATATTTTTGTATTTTTAGTAGAGTTGAGGTTTCACCATGTTGGCCAGGCTGGTCTGGAACTCCTGACCTCAGGTGATCCACCTACTTTGGCCTCCCAAAGGGCTGGAATTAGAGGTGTGAGCCACTGCACCTGGACCCTGATTGTGTTCATTTTGACATGTCTGTCACTTAGCACAGTGGTACATCATAGGTCTTGATAAGTAACTACTGAAGAAGTGAACAAATGCTCCCAAAGACATTAGATAATATCCAAATGGGCATTTTCACAGATGACTTTGTATAAATCAAATTCTCCTTTTAAGAAAAGGTGCCAATCAAAACTTACTGTTGGCAGTGGGATCATTTTTAAATCAAGAGTTTACAAGGTGTCTAGGCCCATGTTGGTTATTTAGGTCATTCATTCATGGATTGGTTCACTCATTCATTCATCAAGAAATATTTAGTACATAACATGTGCAGAAAGCTACACTGGGCACTGAGCCTATGGTGGTGGTGAAAACAGACTTCATCCCTGTGTTTGTGAAGCTTACAGGAACCACTTGCCCTGTAGCTGGGGAAATATTATGTATGAAATGATTTTTGTGTGCTCTCCTGTGTTTTCTTCTCAGTAATATTAAAATCTTTTACTGACAGCAAGAGGAGGTCAAGAATGGAAAGGATTTTGACTTGTTTTGCTCACTGAAATTTTTGAGGACATTTTAATTCTAATATTTATGAGCTGCTTGACTTAGAGCGCGTGTACGTGTGTGCTTGTGTGTGTGTGTGTGTTCACAAAACCAGTAAAACACTTTTTCCCAACACTCCTTCAGGGAAGCTTTCAAGACTTGCTTCCTTGATATATTTCATCTTGACGTAATTCATCTTTCTAGCTCCTTTTTGAAAGACATCAAACTTAGCTCATTATACAGTCTGCATTCTCAATTTGACCTCACCTTCCATTTTTCAAGCAGCACTGTTAGTTGTAAGTTAAATAATGCTATAATTGTGAGTATAATTGCCTTACTGATTAGAGGATTATTGAAGGATTAAAAGAACTGATATTGAAAGGTCTGACAGCTTTGTTTACTCTCAATAAGGTCTGTAATAAATGACTTCCCACTTAAGAACATTGAAACCGCAAAGGTATTTGTCATCTTTTACAACCAATCAAATCCTATTTTGACATGCTAGGAAATGAGCCATATAATTATTTTGCCAATATCAGCTCTTGCCGTTTTGTAATTTACACTGAGGTTGCAAGTTCACTAGCCAAGCCAATGAAATAAGCCACAATGCAGGTAAGGACAAAAAAGAGTGATGTGTTTGCTGCTGTTTTCCTGAGATTTCCTTTCTTGGTGCTGGTGTCTGAATTTTGCTTTCTCTCTTTTCTGCCTCATCCCTGCTATTCCTTTGGAGAAGAAGGGGTACACACCGAGGAGCTGGACAGTGAACTAGGTAAACCTTCCCTGCCTGCTGCTGCTGCATGACACGTGCATGACATGGCCTGCATGGTTTTTCCCCAGTGAATTGCTTAATCCCTGTTTCTTTAGTTTGCACTCCTCCAATTATGATTTTCTTTCTAGCTTGTCCAGGAAAGGTCAGTCTTACAACCTCCATGTCTGACTGCAGGCATCACGCAGAGTTGTAATACATTATGTTTACAAAGAAAATGTCTGAGTGAACTGAGACTAGAATGAGAGTTAGCAAATTGGCGATAGGTAGTCTTGTAAATTGAGGATTGGGAAAGAACTAAAGAGATGCTCGCTGTGTTCCTTGAACTTTCATGTAACCTGTCTCAGTCTTATTTCTTTATTGGTTTAGTGTGGATGGTTATTTGAGTAATACAAAAATGCCAAGCAGAACAAACAAAAATCCATGAGACTAATTTAAGGAGCATTATAGGAGCACTTGCAATAAAAGAAGGTCACTGAGGAATTGAATAGTTAAGTCTTAAGATCATGTTGTTATTACGTCACAGACCACATGTGGTTGACCTTGCCATTATAGTGAGTGGTTGTTTATATAATGATGCAGCATCTATGTGTACTGTTTTTCTTAGAGTTGTGTCAGTGTAAATCAAGTCTTCACTACTCTAGCTATTGTTCTTTAGGAATAATTTATATTAGCGATGATGCCAAATTCTTGTTTCTTTGTTGTTGGAATATATTGAATTATGTTCCCTATTAAGTTCAGTGCTTTATATTCAATCTTGAACAATATTAAAATTAGTTTGCATTCCATCTGATACATTTGCTGATGGATAGATAGGAAAGTATAAATTTCAGCTAAATTGCAGATGAAAGCCTTGACTGATGGAAGATTCTTTAGCAACTGAAGATTGTTTAAGTAGAAGATTGTTTAACATCAATATGAGTGGAACTGTACTAATACTACTGAATCTGCCTGGCATTTTTGAGATTGCCTCAAAACCTGAAAATATAAATCTTTTTAATACATTGCTTTCATTTGGTTTTCTTTATTTTCGTTACATAGATAATCAGTCATGGTTGGCTAGAATTATGATAGAATAGATCCAAGCTCTGTTTTTCTTAATGTTTGTAACATACCCTGTTGTAATTGATACATATGACAATGGTCGATAACTGTGATCTGTTTTTAAAGATGTTTAATAAGTTGTCTTTGTGGTCATTGTGAGAGGAACGACTTGAGGTTCACCCTGAGTAATAGAATAATTTGAAACTAATTTGATTGAAAAAAGAATTTGTCAATACAATGATATTAGATAAAATAATTGAAAGAGACAGAACTAGGTTTTCCAGACACAAAATGAATGTCTTAATCATTTGTTCAGCCAATTTCAACCACTCTTGCTACCATTGCGAGAGATCATTCTGCTGTCGGCTGGCAGCCAGTGGAGATAGCACAGCTGTGTACAGGAGCACAACCTTATTTGCTTCTCTGGAAATTTGAATTTGAAATTTTCCAGGAACGAAGTTTCTGCATTTTACCCACATGTAACTGTGATATCGTGGAACTTTCTTATGCTGTTAAAGACTCTAAACATTAGTTCCCTTGGCTTTCTCTGGGTTCAGATCAAGCTGCCTGGCTCCCCGATTTACTGGCTATGCAACCTTAAACAACCTATTCACTTTCTTTTAGCTTCCTTTTCCTTATCCATAAAGAGGGGCCAAAAAAGGAGCTCCCATGGTGCTTATGAGGTGACTTAATGAGAGCATGTTTTAGTATTTGTTCCTGTGATCAGCACATGCTATTGGCTATTTGCAGTTTTGCTATTTATTACCTAATTCCCTCTTCTTGGACTTTTCAATACTTCCTTATGGTACTATTTTCCATTAACACAGCATAAGGGAGGAATGTGTTCTATACTATAGAAATGGCCCAAATGTGTTCTTGTAGGTAGGGTAGGGATAAAGCCTTGATTTTTGTCTGCACATATTCACTTTGTAAAGAGTAGCACACGTGCACACACACTGTTTTCTATTGCATTCACTCCAGATTCTGTTGACAAGCTCACTGCTCATTTTCTTAATAAGAGGGTCCTAATTTCAAACAATAGCAACTGTCAGGTTTTCAGCGAACAATGAAGTTCCAGATGTGATAAGGAAACCCTTTTTGTAATCTGCCTCTGGGAGGCGTGGGCAGTTGGCTTTGGTGTTGGACACAGATCATTTGATTATAGAGTTGTCATTTCTGAACTCTGTTGTTTGAACTGGGTCAGTTGATCCATTATGTACTTTGGTTCGCAGAATTTATCACGTCCTCTTCAGACATCTCCCCAGAATTAAAAAGCACCTGCAGAACCTGCTTTTGGAATTATAGGGTATTCGTGTGGTGAAACCAACTACGGGAGATAGAGCCAAGAAAATAAACGCTTCTCCCAACCAAAACTAAGTCACAGTTTTGAAATGTATCTCTGATTTTGAACATGATTTTCAATCTATACACAGACAAATCTCTTTTGAAAAGAACTTAGAAACTTTAAGTGCTCAGTATTTGCTCTGTGGAGACAAAATAGTGCAGCATGAGGTTTTCAGAGGCAGGAGTAGCAAGTACACAGGCCACAGATATCTGTCTTACGCCTTTTGTGCTTTCCTGGAACAGCTGCCATTTCTTGGGCACTTTCTATGTGCCAGGAACCATGCTAAGTGTTTAGAAGTATCCTCATTTAATCCACCATTGACTTTTGAGGCAAACCCATAAGAAAGATGTGGTTCAGAGATATTAAGTGAGTAGCCCAAGGCCACAGAGAGTAGTAGAGATAAATGAAAGAACTAAGGGTCAGTCTTAAATCTGGGCAATGCCAAAAGGGTCTCAGCCACCTCAAATCAATGTGGTAGGTTGTGCAGTCTAATTTGCTCTGACTGTCATTAGTCATAGGAGATGGCTTTTTTTAAGTCTTTAGAGTATTTGCTTAAAAAATTATAATGTCATTATTTTCTGGAATTAAATATTTTATGCCTTCTTCAGTTTTTTAGAACGAAATGGCAACTTCTGGGACAAACATCTTCCTATTTAAAATGAATGACCCATTTCTATTTTAAGCATTAGGAAACTAATTTCTATGATTAAGTTAATCACCACCTTGGAAGTAAGAAACTGTCTTTTCAATTTCTGAAGTTTGCTCATCTGTTCCAAAAGATGTGTTTAAACTGACAAATGTCCAGAGATGCCAGTTGACTGGCCCCATTTTTTCAACTCTAGATTATTAAGTTGTTGACCAGGAACCAGGAAAGAAGTCACAGGTACCTTCTTTTCTAGTACTCTCCTCAGACCTCCGTCAAAGCACATACCAGGAGGCTGAATTTTCTGCTTAGATGATGTGTTTGCATTTATCTTTGTGTCCCTGGTGCCTGCACACCCTGAGGCAAACAGTAGGCATTCAACAAATGTTTGTCAAATTAATAATTGAGTAACTTGAATGCTTAATATTTCCCGTTTTATCTAAAGATAATCAGGCCACATATTTCAGGTTGCAGAGTTTGAAAAGAGATGTTATTTCTGTAAAACAGAATGTGATCCCCTCACATCCACCCACCATTCTGCTCTATACAAAATGTATGACTGTGCAACACTTTGCATTTTTTTAATCTTTGAGTTCTCAACTCTTTGGAAATATTTTCCTGGTTCATTTTCATTTAAATGGTAATTTCCAGCTTTGTAAGGGGAAAGCATTTCCCAGGCATTTAATTTGCATCGGTCCACAAGACTCGGTTTATAAAAATGCCAAGTTATAGCAACATCTGCAAATTAGACCTGTCTTGCATTTTAGCAGCTTATGTCTCTTACAAGTCAAAGACTTCTTTAAAACCTGCTAAATGTTTTTTTCTTTTTAATTTAGAAGAAAGGGGGGGAAACCTGTCTCTTTGTTTGCAAACAAGTAACATGTGGAGCAAAAACCATGAAATTAATGTCTCTTGATGTACAGCCAAATCTGAACACAACATAAACTTTGAGTAATTAGTCTGTATGTGTTTATGTGCATATGCGTGCCTCCACCTCAGTCTGGAACTGTGTGTGGCATATGTAAGCCTTCTGCCCTGATGACATGATCATTATTTAAATTAGAGACCACATGATTCCTTCAATTAAACAAAAATCTATTTCAAATATTTCAAGTTTGTAGTATTCTATCCAAGTTGGTCTTAATAGCACTTCTAGGACTAATTATTCACTTTAGAGTGTGGTATTACATAAGTTTGCCTTGACTACATATATCAGGTTAGTTTTAAAATTAAGTTGGATAATTGTTGCTCTGCCTGAAAGGATTGTTTAATGACAAAAAACCCCCCACAGTCTAGTTGCTTCTTGCACCAAGTAAAATAACATGGTGCAGTGGGCCTTTCCACATCAGATTCTTGTTCAATCAGAACTATTACCTCTTAATAGAGTTTTGGCCTTTGATATGAAACCTTAGGAAGTTCTGTAGAGCATCACTGAATTTTCAGAAAGGCACATACATCTCCCAGTGCCACTTTACCACCACATTTAAAGGAAAAAAATTGTCTACCTTAGATAGTGAGCTCTCAGCCATCAGGAGCTCCGTTACTGCTTTCGTAGGTAAGTGCTGGGAAAGATGGGCCAGCCCAAAGATAGCAATTGAGTGATAGATGTGTGCAGTTCAAAAATGCAACTCCATTTTTGTTTGGAATAAGAAGAAAATAAGATGCGGATTTTATTTTATTTCAAGGAGAGCAAAGCAGCACTGTTGTATTGGAAATGAAAAGAAACATTAATTTTCATCCAGTTTTCCTTGTGTAATAAGATGACCTAGAAACAAAATGAGAAAACCATAAACATTTACTATAGGAGCTAGGCATTCAAAGCAAGTTTAACCTATATTTTCATTAAAATCTAATTTAATAGTGATTTAGAATAAAGGCATCTGGGACTGCATTTTATTAAGTTTTATTGTCTTGCATAAAATACCAATAGATAAAAAAATGCTCTTCATATAGAAAAATACACTGATAAAATAATATACTTTTTCTGTTGTTAGGATATACAGTTTTAATTGGATTTAAGGCATTCTTATGAGTCTTTCTCTTTTTGCCTAACTCAATTGTTGAAGATACCCAGGCTCTTCAAGAATATGCTCTTCTTGCTCTAAATGTTCTTCTGTTTTTCAGAACTGCCTGCTGGTTGGGAAAAGATCGAAGACCCTGTCTATGGTATCTACTATGTAGAGTAAGTGCCCATTCACAATCCACACGTGAGTTTATACCTCTCTATAATTATGTACATTTGTGTTAAGAACAGCTTACCATTATTATAAGGTACAAACCAAATAACAATATTAATTTTATGATGAAAATATGTATGCATATTTTAATGAATAGGAAAATATTCAGTAAATCTGAAAATAGCAAATCATATTATTAAATTAACATGGGCAGGATTCATGGCTTTTGTTTACCACTGCATCACAAAGGCTCAACATGGTCCTGGCATATGGCAGGTACTTAATGAGTATTAGTTGAATGAATGAATGAGAAAAGCAAGGATTCAGTAGACCATATGAAGAGGGATTATTTGTCTTCACAAGTAGTATCTGATTTGTCTACTTTTTGCTCTGCCCAGATCTGAACTCCTTAGCAGTTACTTCTTTATTCATTCATACATTCTAAAAGGTTCAGGCAAATCTTAATAATTTATGAAATGTTGCCAGGATTGAGAAGGAAATGGAAAACTAGCCTAAGCTGCAGACTATGTGTGTTTATTTCTCTCTTGCCTGAGGCTCTTGTTTCCCATTTTTAAAAGTCTAAAAACCTTGTGACTTTTTTGTTGTGTGCCTTATTCTAGCATTGGGCTCCCACTTTTTCCTTTGATCGGAACTATTGATTAATAGGATGATACTAAAAGAAAGCTAGAGGTTAGGACATTGGAAAAAATAAAGCTTTATATTATATAGTTTCCTCTTAGAAAGATGAGAGGTAACTACTAAAAGTTCCTTCGAAAGAAGCAAATGCCATATAAATGTAGAAATATAATCCTACCAGCCACACTGAAGATGTAACTGTTATATTTTCTTTTCCTTATTCTGCTGGTGATGAAAAGTCATTTGTATAATACTCCAGTGATGTGAACATAAGATGCAAAGAGTACCAGGCCACAAAATAAATGTCCAGCATCTTATTGTAAAAATCATGGGTTCAATATAGCAAGTATCCTTGGCCAATACTAACTTTTACCTCCACTTTGCCTAAAAAGAGGGATTGGCAATAAGGGGCATCAGAGAGGCAAAGTTGGCTGTTTCTCTGACCCTCTGATAATTAATTTCTTTTGTGTGCCCCAAAAATCATCTTTCTCACAGATGTGGTATGGGGTTTTTGCTATTTGAAGCTCATTTTGAATTGTCCCCCTCAACTATTTTATGCATTAGGAGAGAGCAGAAACAGATGACAAAAGCTTTGGTGGGTGAAGACACTAGTTTGAGGGGCAAGTTGTTATCTTACCATACAGTTCTCTGTGTGTCTTTTCAGATTCATGTGCCTGTTATTGGTAGACTATTTCTTAGAATGAAATTGCTACAAGAATTAGGAAATAAACATGTAGGCCTTTAATAAAAATTAAGAGCAATCAATCTATCCATTCTGTTTGATAAGCCTGCTTAAAAAAAGCAAGGCCTCGCTTTTTATAAAACTTGGAGTACTAAATAATCACAGTAGTATGCTCCCAAACATCTAATAAACTGTTATTTTGAGTTAAGTAAAATAAGGCTGGGCGTGGTGGCTCACTCCTATGATCCCAGCATTTTGGGAGGCCAAGGCAGGTGGATCACTTGAGGTCAGGAGTTTGAGACCAGCCTGGCCTGCATGGTGAAACCCTGTCTCTACTGAAAATAAATAAATTAGCCAGGTATGGTGGCACATGCCTGTAATCCCAGCTACTCGGGGGGCTGAGGCAGGAGAATCGTTTGAACCCAGGAGATGAAGGTTGCAGTGAGCCAAGGTGGTGCCTTTGCACTCCAGCCTGGGTGATGGAGAGAGACTGTGTCTCAAAAAACAAAGAAATAAAGAAAGATATATGTATATGCTTGTATTATGTTTGTGTTGTGTGTGTATACACACATGTACATATGTATACATATGTATACACACATACATGTATACACACATACATGTACATACACTAAATAAGGCCATAGCAAAAAACAAATTTGTATATGTATGCATATGTACAGGTGTGTGTATTTTTCAATTTGTCATACACGGCCTAATTATTTTTGTAGACATCTAAGTGTTTGGATCTTTGTCATTTTGAACACATCACATCTACTTAGGTTAACTGTATTTGGAGTCTCTCTGCCTAAGGCTTGTACTTTTATTTGTGCCTCCATGTTTAGTGATCAAAATAGTTAACAGATGTGAGTAGAGTTCTTTGTTTAACTTCATTGTTTGGATGACTGTTTATGCTTCTGTGAACCCTGCTTTAGACAGCTACACAGCAGTTCTGGCATTGTATGTTACAGAGAATGTCACACAGCCACTTTAATCTTATTTCTCAATAATTCCTTAATCTAATTCTTGTTGAATTAAAGCAGCTTCCCCTGTCAGGTGGTATCTTGGACATTTGAAGGGGTCAGTGGTTAAAATTCTGGGATCTGAAAGCAAACAACCCTGAGCTTGCATGCCTGTTTACTGCCTACTAGCTATATTATGCTTGGTGAATCATTTAACTGCCCAGAAACTTACTTTCCTTATTTATAAGATATGAATAAAAATAGGACTTACCTCCTGGCATTTACTGAGGAGTTTTAAATAAAATGCATGTAAAACTTGTGGCCCAGTGCTTAGTGCATATAAGCAGTCAGTAATGGAAACCTCTCATTTTTATTTCCTCTTTCTAACTGGGCATTTTAACACATGAGGGTTAGCATTTCAGACCACCTGCTCTGCTTAGTTTGAATCCAGGGACTTGGTCAAATTGGCATTTTGCTGGTGGGATGAAGTGTTTCCAAGCTGAATACTATTTGCTGTCTTCCCCAGCCACATCAACAGGAAGACACAGTATGAAAATCCAGTTCTAGAAGCCAAGCGGAAGAAGCAGTTTGAGCAGCAGCAGCAACAGCAGCAGCAGCAGCAGCAACAGCAGCAGCAACAGCAGCAACAGCAGCAGCAGCAGCAGCCCCAGCAGACGGAAGGTTGGCCTCTTCCCTCTAGGCTTTTTCTTGAGCAGGAGAGCATGGGGCGAAACCTGAGCACTGACACCCCCATGTGGTCAAAACTGGCCTCGATGATTGGGTCGTCTCTTGCCACACTGAGGAGTCGATGTCCTGAGGGTAGGAAGAGAACCCCATCTCTGTATTCCTCTGGACAGCTAAAGTGGAGATTCTAATTCAGAGGCATCCAGATCTCCACTTTAATTTAGAAAGGAGCATGGTTAGATCAGAAAACTTTCTGAGGGGGAAGGAAATCTCTTGCCCCCGCAGTGTTTGCATTGCAGCTGGTATCTAAATCCAAACCACTTTTAGCATTTTTACTTTAAGTGGAGTTACTGGGCATGAAACTAACTTTTAATTTTAGGAACATTACATGTAAAGAACCATATAAAGCTGGTAGTTTTGGGTGCCTTTTAAAAATTACAGACTAATTCATGCTCACTGTAAAAATATGGGCAGTTCAGAAGTATAGAACATTAAATTTTCCCCTGCTTGCCACCTTCCCATTATCGGAGATAAGCCCTGTGCAGAAATTTTCTAGGAATATACATGTATGCATATTTTAACAAAAATTTGATTATAATTTATACGTATATAGTATGTCTTTGAGACCTGTTTTCTCACTTTTTATTTCTTGCGCATATTTCAAAGTTAGCTAATATAGATTTAGCTTATACTTTATGCTGGTGATATAATATTCCATTTTATGAATGCCCCTACTTTAGCCACTCATTGATTACTAGATACTCTGACTTTTCCCAGTTTTTCATTGTGATCTTTTAAAATAATAGGCTTAATACTCCTTAATATTAATATGTGAATATCAAATAGAATATGAAGTGTAATGCTTCTGTTACTATAATATTGAATATAATAAATATAAGCCTTATACTACTGGTTGGCAAACTTTTTCTGTTAATGGCCAGTTAATAAATATTTTAGGCTTGTTGATTCATATAGTCAATCTCTGTTAGAAGTACTCACCTCTGCCATTGTAGTATGCAAACAACTGTAGATAATATGTCAATGAATAGGTGCAGCTGTGTTCCAATAAAACTTTATTTATGGGCACTGTAATTTGAACTTCATATAATTTTCCTATGTCACAAAGTATTCTCCTTTTTATTACTTTTCAACCATTTGAAAATGTAAGTTATTCTTGGCTCACAGGCTGTATTCAAACAGGAACTGGCCCCAGTTTGGCTCATGGGCCATAGTTTGCCAACCACTGCCCTGGACTATACAATTTAGGTAGAGTAGGTATGTATGTCTGTGTATATTCACCCATTGAAATGTTCTCTACCTTAGTCTCTTTTCTAGCTAAAAGGAAATTTTTTCTTATTTACATTTAGTGGGTACAAATGCAGCTTTTCACACACTGGTATATTAAGTGGTGGTGGTCTAGTCTTTTGGTTTAACCACTACCCAAATAGCATACATGTACTCATTAAGTAACTTATCATCCTTCAGCCCCCTCCAACCCTTCCAAGTCTCCATGGTCTGTTTCCACACTTCATGTCCATGAGTACACATTATTTAGCTCCCACTCAGAAGTGAGAACATGTGGTATTGGGCTTTCGGTTTCTGAGTTGTTTCACTTAAGATAATGGCCCCTAGTTACGTTCATGTTGCTGCAAAAGACATAATTTTATTGTCTTTTTTATGGCTGAGTGGTATTCCATGGCATACACAACACATTTTCTTTATCCAGTCATCTGCTGATGGACATTTAGGTTGATTCTGTATCTTTGCTATTGTGAATAGTGCTGCAGGAAACATACAAATGTAGATACCATTTTGATAGAATGATTTCTCTTTCTTCAGGTAGATACCCAGCAGTGGGATTGTTGGATTGAATGGTGGTTCTGTAGAGGTTGCAGCATACATTCTCAGCAACAATGTATAAGCATTCCCTTTTTTCCACATCCTTATCAACATCTGTTGTTTTTTTGTCTAAAAATAATTTTTTAAATGTGTCTTTCTTGAGCTGATAAAATTTGGTAGTGTTAGAAAGTACAGTTTGCACAGTTTGCAAATGAGAATGTGCAACTGAATATGATCTCTGAGCTCGAAGTGATTCTGGGGTGCATCTCAAGGGTCACTCACTGTGAATTATGTCTGGTCTTCAAGGTGCATAAGACTAGAATTAGGGTCCAGGAGTATTCGTAATGGGTCTCATTTGGATTTCAGAGATGACTGAAGAGAGTACCCTTAGCAAACTGTTGACATCTACCTTCCTCTTCCTCCCTACCTAAGACAAGCTGGCCTCAGCAGTCCAGCTCATATCTCAATCACATTGAAGAAATTTCTCCCTTATACAGCTGCCATTAGTTGACTGTACATCTTTCCTGACGTTTTAAAACTGACCTCACTTTGGACTTTGCAGCCAGAGAGAACTGGAGTTTTCATTCATTATATCATAACATTTCTTTCCCCAAATGTCTTAGATAAGAAAAAAAGATCTTCATAGAGTGAGATCGGATAACAACTTCTTAAGCTATCTGCCCTTGGTTTTATTGCTTTGGATATTACTAATAATAAGGTGAATCATAAGTAAGTAAACAAGGCATTTGAAGGAAAAATAGGAAACTTTCTTTTCTTTCTGACAGAATGGACAGAAGATCACTCAGCCCTTGTGCCTCCTGTTATTCCAAACCACCCCACAAGCAATCCAGAACCAGCCAGAGAAGCTCCACTTCAGGGTAAAGTACTTGTTTTTCTAATTGCGTTATGGTTTTAGCTGAAAATCCGATTTTTTAAAGGTATTTTAAAAAGTGGAGTCTTGTAACTCTCAAGTCATTCCTTCAATAGTGAAAACCATAAATAATGAAAGCAGTGATAAAAGTATTGTTAATTAGACTTGTCAAGAAAAATTAGAAATCTTCCTGAGAAATTTTTTTTCAACTATTTGTAATAATTTAAAAATAAAGACGATTTGTTACATGATCATTCAAACCAAGGTTTCTCAACCTCAGCACCATTGCCATTTTGGGGTAGTTAATTCTTTGTTGTGTGGGGCTGTCCTGGGCACTGTGAGATGTCCCCTGGCCACTAGATGCCAGTAGCACACAGCACACCTCTGACAGACATTGTGACAAGAAAACTGTCCCCAGACATTGCCAGATGTCTCTGGGGAACAAACCCATCCAGGAGATAAGAATCACTGATTTAGACACCACAGATATTTAACAGTATGTTAAAAAAGATAAATCTGAAACTCGACATTAGATATTCCAAGATCCTAGCCAACATACTAGGTTTTGACTGAGACTTTGCTATAAATGTAAATGGTTTGATACTGTGTTTTCAGTTCTCATTCCCTATCCTTGCTGTAGTTTGGGTATTTATGCATGTTTACAATATTTCAATGGGTCTTGTTTATTTACATTCACACATAGGATGAGGCCCTTATAGAGAATTATTCTTGAGAATTGGAAGCTCCAGAACCTTGCAACTTTCAGGCCTCATTACTCTTAAATTATACAAAATAGTTGTGTTTAGTTTTCTTTTTCTTTTAAATGAGCATCATGTTTGACAGAGTTGGAGAATGTTTTTGGTACAGAAACACTAAAAATACTCCAAAATGTGTTTTCCTTTCTACATTTTTAGAGATTTAATTGTGTAAGATATAAAAAGATAAGTTGAGCAATTCATTTCTCTAATTTTAATTCATTATAACTTTTATAAGAAAGAAATTTTTTCTCTGCTAGGTGACATTTCATGAGATTAGAATGAATATCAATTTATGTAAAACAATTTCTTCTGGCATGAATATACTTTTTAATGGTGATAATGGCTTTAATAAAGATTGGACATAGTAGATAATAATATGTTGATTAATATCAACTTGAATGTGGATTCCTCAGTTTTGTTTGTTTGTTTGTAAATATAAAATTCCTTCTGCAGGTTCATGCCTTCTTACCTTCCCCTCTGTCACAGTAAGTTAGCTTCCTTTCAGTTCTTTTAACCAGCAAAACTGTGGACTGCTTATGAGTCTTTGCGGAGGCTGTTCTTTCTGTTTGCAGTTGTCTTTTCCTCCTCCTTCTTACTGTGCTAACTCCTGTTCACCTCAAGTCTTTGCTAGATTCCCCTACTATGTTTTCTCTTAACCATTCTGTACTTCGCATTTATGAAATTTAACCATTATAACTAGTGTTCATTTGTGTGCTATAATTTAACATGAGTTTTTTCATTAGACTTTAAATCCCATGGAGGCAAGAGACTGTGATTCTCTGCTTTCTGTTTTTTTCATTGTGAGATGATCCCGAACAAGGCATAATCCCTTGATATCTATTTTCTGATGAAATTATTATTGAGTGAAAAAGTCTCCATCCATCTATCCATCCATTCGTCTACATATACGTATAGAATAGCCAACCAGACTTCCTTAAATAATTATCTTAGAAATTAAATAAATTAAGGCTCAGGTTCTGGGTGCCAAATTCTTCATGTACCAACTAAGAACCTGGATGGTATTTATCTGTAGTAGACTCAAATTCTTACTTTTCTTTCACCCAGACTTTCTTTTTTTTTTTTTTTCTCTTCTTCCTTATTTCCTTATATATCTTCCTTATTCCTCTTAGTCATCTAATGATTGACCAAGACATCCACTAATGTCTTGGTTCAGGCAGCTTTGACAAGTTGCCATAGACTAGGTGGCTTAAACAGCAAACATTTATTCATCAGTTCTGGAGACTGGAAAGTCAAAGATCACAGTGCTAGCAGATCCAGTGTCCAATGAGAGTCCACTTCCTGGTTCACAGATGGCCATTTTCTCACATAGTGCAGAGCAGAGTGAGAAGGGACTAGCTCTCTTTCTCTCCTTATAAGAATAAGCCCATCACGTGGGCACCACTCTCATGATCTAATCACCTCCCAAAGACCCCACTTTCAAATACCATTCAGTAGTGTCTGGGAAGGTTCAGGCTTGCTGAACTCTCCTTGGGATTGACTTATTTATTCTTAGCACTCTTCTACTGTGTAGTCTCTCTGTTGAGCCACACCTTTCAAGCACCTTTATAATCTTTGGAACATAACTAATACCAAAGAAACCAGTTAAAATCCGTACCGTTTGGCTCTAAGCTGTGATTTCGGTAAACGTAAGTTAGACTTTAGCCTCATTGGTTATAACCCTGGGATACCTTCCTGCTGGTTAAGTGTCTTGATTAACCATCTAGTGTCTAATGTCTTGTATCTTGGGCAATATCTAGTGTCGATAGACTGTCAGTAAGAAGACATATAGCTAATCTGGTTAGATTGTTTGGTATTAATTTTGCTAAATTGATAGGTCAACTAAATTCTCCCCTGATCAAGAATGTACTTCTAATTCCAGCAAGTGATAATTTGAAGATATGTTCTTGGGAAAACTCCCCAGCGTCAAGCTTGTGCTTAGAGAGAGATTTTTGCAGCTACCCCTCGATCACACTCACTCTGTCACCATTGCTAACAAAACAGTAACTCATTTATTGAGCTCCTATTATGTGCCAGGTACCTTCCTAGGCACTTTACCTCCATTATCTATCATGGTTGTTCCTCACAACTATCATATGAAATAGGTATCATCATTACCTCCATTTGTACTTGTGATACTCAGGCAGAGAGGTTTAGTACCTTGCCCAAGGCCATATAGCCACTAAGTAGCAGACTACAGATTTGAACACTAATTTTCATGAGGAATAGTTTAACTTCTGGTTGAAACATTTTTGGTTGAAAGGTTAGACTGTGCCTCATTTGTGTAGTCTAAGTCTATGCTGTTCAGTATGGAAGCCACTGGTTTCACATTGCCATTTCAATTTAATTACAGTTAAAAAAATCAAAAACTTCAGCTTCTCAGTCTCACTAGCCACATTTCAAGGGTTCGGTGGCTACATGTGACTAGTAGCTGCCATATTGGACGGTGCAGATACAGAGCATTTTCATCATCATAGAAAGTGCCGTTAGACAGTACTGGTCTAGGATATTTAAACACTAGCATCAAGAAATGACACTTCTTTCCCCTCCCCTGAGCCCAGCAGGGAAACAAACACCTAAGGTGTTTTGGGCCAAGACGCAGAACATCCTGATCAGTGAGTCTAGGGAAGGAACTGGAAATGAGTACATTTTAAAAAGCTACACAGGTGATTTTCCCATACAACCAAGTCTTACCACTGGTGACTAGTAAACAGAGGTTAGGATCTTAGAAGATCACATGCACCACAGGGCTGAAGCTGAGAGCTCCAAATTCCACTGCCTAGGGGGTGAAAAGCATTTCTTTCCAAAAGCTACATTAACTAATGATCCACCCAGACGTAAAGAGTAATAAAATGTGCATAAATGTGAAACCTTCTGATCTTCCCTCCCTTGTTAAACATTGAAAAAGGAAGTCAGTTGTATAATTTCAAAGCTCTGCTCATGTCTTTATTAAGTTAACATTCTCAGCACAAAATATGCTAATGTATTTTTTTAAATTACATAAACTGCCAGGCACATTTTCACATTTTCTAACTTAGCCTTTAATAAGAGTGAAAAGCTCTAACACCCAAATACCGCTTTTCAGCCTTCCCAAAAACATGTTAAATTTCATTTCTATGTGCTTTTATTTGTTCATTCATTCACTCCCTCAACAAAAATTTTTGGAGTGCATAAAATAGACCATATTTTAGATACTGGATATACATAGAAAAATTCTCATGGAACTAACATTCTGGTGGTTTATGTACCTGCATAGGCAGTGCCCTTCATACATAGGAGTGGGGGACAGTAGGAAAAAAAAATAGGTAAGATGTATACTCTTTTGGAAGGTGGTAAATGCTAAGGACAAAAATAAAGCGGGAAAAAGGGATTGGGAATGTTGGAGGTACTGCAATTTTTAGTAAGGTGGTTAGGGAAGGTCTTGCTGGAAAGGTAATGGCTGTCGATGATGTCTCTGCATAACTAAAATGTGTTTCCTTTCAAAGTCCTGGAATGCCCTAGCAGCCCCTACTGTAAGAGTGTAGGCCACTTACCCACCTCCCGCTAAAGTAAATTTGGGGGTTATCTTACCGATTTCCACCTGATAATTGTCTTGGCATTGGTCTCCCCAAAGCTCTTGGTGGAAGTGACACTACCCTCCCAGTGCCTTGGCAGATGACTTTGCATGGCAAATCCTTCTAAGTCTTGTCTTTCTTTCACCACTGTGACAGGGCTGTAGTTTGTCAAGCTTCCAACAAGCCTTGGGACTGCGCTAAAGAGCAGGTTAGCGAAAGGACCTCTGATTGCAGGCAATTTAAAAGAGCCTTTTTTGCAAGAGCCAGAAACTTTAAAAATATGCAATTAAAAATTGTATGCATGCCCAGATACCTTTTAAGGCCTTTTAGATATAACTAACCAAAAATAACTTTTCTTCCTAGGTCCCAGGCTCCTAGTGCAGGGATGTAGGAGACTAATGTCTCCCTCTTTCTCTCTCTCTCTTTTTGTTTTGGATAACATTTTTGATAGAAAAGAAACAGGGCAGGTGGAGAAGCTGTGTGTGGCAAGGACAGGGTATAAGAAGTAAGTGAAGTTAGGAGAGATGAAAGAATCTGCTCACGAAATTTGGTCTAGGCCTACTACTTGGGATAATCAGAGAAGTTTCAGTAAGTTTCTCAGTTACAGATATGTGCCTAGTAAATCCCAAAAGAAAACATTTTGGTTTATGTTCAAAATGTTATTTGTGAATGTATCAAGAAAACTCAATAAAACCTTAGGTTTCATGTTTGGAAATTATTTAGCTGTATCTCTATCTGTTAATTTAATTTATTTTGTTTATTTACTTTTTGAGATAGAGTTTTGCTCTTGTTGCCCAGGCTGGAATGCAATGCCGAGACTTGGCTCACTGCAACCTCCACCTCCTGGGTTCAAGTGATTCTCTTGCCTCGGCCTCCCAAGTAGTTGGGATTACAGGCACCCACCACCTCACCTAGCTAATTTTTTTTTTTTTTTTTTTAAGTAGAGATGGGGTTTTACCATATTGCCCAGTTCAGTCTCAAATTCCTGACCTCAGGTGGTCCATCTGCCTTGACCACCCAAAGTGCTATGATTACAGGCATGAGCCACCATGCCCAGCCTAATATATGTTAAATAAGACAGCTGAATTTGGAGCTGTATGGCTACTGTTAGTAACTACTTTAGGATTTTGGGGTTGTTTGTTTTGTTTGGTTTGGTTTGGTTGTTTTTTGGTTTGTGTTTTTCGTTTCTTTCCTTCTTTTTCTTCCTTTCCTTCTTTTTCTTCCTTTCCTTCTTTTTCTTCCTTTCTTCCTTCCTTCCTTCCCTTCCTTCCCTTCCTTCCCTTTCTTCCTTTGAGTCTTTCTCTGTCGCCCAGGCTGGAGTGTAATGGTGCCATCTTGGCTCACTTCAACCTCCACCTCCTGGGTTCAAGCAATTCTTCTGCCTCAGCCTCCTGAGTAGCTGGGATTACAGTCACCCGCCACCATGCCCAGCTAAGTTTTGTATTTTTAGTAGAGACAAGATTTCACCATGTTGGCCAGGCTGGTCTTGAATTCCTGATTTTGTGATCTGCCCACCTCGGCCTCCCAGAGTGCTGGGATTACATGAGCCAGTTTGTGTATTTTAAACAAATATCTAAAGCTTGTTATAAACACTAAATCTTAGCCGTGGACATGTGTTGGCTGTTTTACAAATTTAATAACAGGTGCAAATTAATAGGAAAAAATCAATTGAATTTAGAATTCAATTCAAAGTGATGACCCTTAATTTTGAAAATAGTCATTCTACATTTTTGTCGAATTATTATTTGTGTCCATACTATGTTTTCTGGTATTATCTGTGCATTTTCAGCCTGGATATTCTGTTTGATTAAAACTAAAGGTTTTACTGCTCAGTTGGTTTTTCAAGTAGAAGCCAGGCCCAAAGCAGCACATTGGAAGCCATATTGCAAAATACAAAATAAAACAGAACAAAAGACATAAAACAGACCAATTCCATTTTCTGTGAAGGAGCTTATGACAGCTCAATTCCTGTCAAACTGCATGAATGGAAACCAAGAAGTGTGTCACCTGACAGGGTCTAATGTCATCCCTCTCTTGTATTTTCTTTTAGACCCTGTAGTTGACATACCTCTCTCCTTCAACAGTGGGGCCTAGGAACATCCTTATTCCTGAAATTAAGAGAGAACTTTCTTAAGATGCTATGTGCCCAAAGGCTCTAGGGCATAAGCTTGAAGAATGATATATATGTTGTCTCAAATCTTGTTTAATTCTCCTTTTCACCGATGGTGACATTCCTTATGCTTTTCTTACTTTAATGCAGGCAAACCCTTTTTTACACGAAACCCTTCTGAGTTGAAAGGCAAGTTCATTCACACGAAGCTGCGGAAAAGCAGTCGTGGCTTTGGCTTCACGGTGGTTGGAGGGGATGAACCTGATGAGTTTCTCCAGATCAAGAGCTTGGTCCTAGATGGTCCTGCTGCATTGGATGGCAAGATGGAAACAGGTAGCGTCCACATGGCCTTAGTGTGTTCTGTGTGGTAAGACTCCAACCCAGAACATAAACGTGTACAATCATGATGTTTGGTTTGAGCAAGACCAAACAGTGTCATGATTGCACATGCTTATACCTTAGAACACCTTGAGAATGAGCCAGATCTCCACATTATATAAATCCATCCCTTGGGACAGATTAAAACCTGCGAAATTATTTTAACTTTGGGAAACTGTCTGAGTACAAAAACAGTAATTTATTAAAACTGTAGATCCCCATTTGAATAAATGAATTCGAAGCTTGGATTTGTGCAGTGAGTTTTTTTTTTTTTTTTTGAGAAAGCTCCAGTGTTTCTCTCAGTGATTATTTTATTCTTATTAGCGGGGAAGACACTAGGTGCTGAAAAAATAGAAGCAGTCTGTGCCCTATAGTATCACACCCACGTGCAGTTTCAGTTCAGCTTTATATTAGTGGAATATGTTATAATACTGATGACAATTTTCTGGGTGCTTTTTTTAACCTCCACACTCTTCTCTTCTACAGGGGATGTGATTGTCAGTGTGAATGACACCTGTGTTTTGGGACACACACATGCTCAAGTTGTGAAGATCTTCCAGTCTATCCCCATTGGTGCCAGTGTGGACCTTGAGCTCTGCCGAGGTTATCCATTGCCTTTTGATCCAGATGACCCCAATACAAGTTTAGTGACCTCGGTAGCCATTTTGGATAAAGAGCCAATTATTGTGAATGGGCAAGAGACCTATGATTCACCAGCTAGCCACAGTAGCAAAACAGGCAAAGTCAATGGCATGAAGGATGCCAGGCCAAGCAGCCCAGCGGACGTGGCTTCAAGTAGTTCTCATGGTTATCCTAATGACACTGTTTCTTTGGCTTCCTCCATAGCCACTCAGCCAGAACTCATAACTGTTCATATCGTCAAAGGGCCAATGGGCTTTGGTTTTACTATTGCAGACAGTCCTGGTGGGGGTGGCCAAAGAGTGAAACAGATTGTTGACAGCCCAAGGTGCCGAGGCCTGAAAGAAGGGGATCTCATAGTGGAAGTTAATAAGAAGAATGTGCAGGCTCTAACTCACAACCAAGTGGTGGATATGCTGGTTGAGTGTCCTAAGGGGAGTGAGGTCACATTGTTGGTGCAACGAGGAGGTAAGTAGGTTTGTTTTGTTCTTTGAATTTTTTTTTTTTAATTACAGATTCGTTGCTTAGCTCACTCATCTTCAGATTACCACGGGGACTTTTTAAATGTGTATTCCTTTAAGTTCATTTTTATTTAAATGTTTCAAAATACCTACTGATTTCTTCAAATGCTAACCCCTTTCATGTAAAAATTATGGTTTATATATTATGATAGACATATGCTGTTAGAGTGATACTTTAAAACAGATTGAGCCTTTTTAAAACATTAAGATTTAAAAACCTAAGTTGGACGTAGTGATATCCACCTGTAGTCCTGGCTGTTTGAGAGGCTGAGGTGCAAAGATCACTTGAGCCCAGGCATTTGAGTCCAGACTGTTCTCCCGAACTTGGCCAAATAGTCTGCCAAATGTGACTGTGGTCACTCCTCCAAACGTGTCTCACGTTTCTCTTCTCCATCGGATGGTGCTTTAGCCATATTGGCTGCTTTTCTGGAGCTCCTTTAATGCTTGAAAGCCTTTTCTTGCCTCAGGGCCTTTGCACCTACTGTTCCCTATGCCTGGAATGCTCCTTTCCCAGCTCTTCCCAGCTGGCGCAGTCTCATTCAGGTCTCCTTCTGGAAGAGGACTTTTCCCATCACTTTATCTAAAGTAGCTCCCAACACTTCCATTTAATCTTTATCACATTTCTTCATAACCTTGATCATCATCACTCTTTTTAGCACAAGGCGTTATTTCATGCATTTATTATTATTTTTCATTTTTTCTCTTTCATTAGAATATAAAGCTTCATAAAGCCAGGGCCCATGTGTGCACGTAGACAGCTGTTATCCCCAATATTTAACACAACACCTGACTCCTTTTAGGTATTTATGAATGAATAGGTATTGAATAAGGGAATAGGTATGTGATTATTTCTATTTGGCAGAAACAAGAGGTCTGCTAATTATACTAAACACTTCCTTCCACATGCTCACATTTTAATAAAGTAGTTTAGGATCTCAGAGATCTGAGTTATTCTAAATTTCAAGGTGTTAAGCTTCTTCCTTTCTCTTTGACCCAACATCCCACACTCTGCCTCATCAGAAAACCCAGGACCTTACACTGAGCAATATTTTCCACCATATTGAAATGTCTTGCTCCTATAATATATACATATATGTGATTAGTCATGACTGATAGTGTCACACTATGGACCTGAGAATGGCTGTTCTCCTGATCCTTGCCACCATTTGTTTCATGCACAATATATGCAGGCCTTCTGAAAAGAGATCAAGAACCAGACTTTGGTTTTCTTTTGGTTTGCTGCAACAGAGGAGCTCATTTGTGTTACAGCAGCCAGATTCTCATGTTTTCATGAAGCCGTGTGTTCTGCGATCAAAATGGCTGGGATCATTTGAAGGAAACCCACAATACGGAGCAGGTGTCTATAGGAATTGAAATGCACAGTGAGCCTGGCTTAGGCAGTTGTAAAAGGCATTGTGCAAATTTTATTTTTAAAAATATCATTTCTAGTAACCAATTTTCAAGTCTCTTCTTGTACCTAGATCACTTGACCGCCCAGAGAATTGGTTTTTAACACTAGCCAAGATGTATGTAGTAGAAAATGACTTGAGTGTAAGAACGATTATGACAATAGTGATGATAGTGATGATGAAACCTGGCCCTTATAGATGAATCAGTGATACATAAAGCACTTTCACACCTGCATGTGCCTCTCCTCTGATCTTTGTCACTTCCCTGTGAGGTAGGAAGCCACCATCCCACAGTAGTTCAGAGCTGTTCACCCTGGCTCTGTGGTTTTCGGTTCTGTGTTCTGCCCTACTTACCTGAGTAACACTGAGTTTTGTATAATTGCTTAATACTGTGACTGTTAACCTGGAAACTTTCAAATAGTTCTTGGTACATCAGGTGCACTTCTGATTCAGCCACTGCTCATTTGACAGACACAGACCACCTTGTTCTCCTAACTCATCTATCTGCTTTCTCATTTCTGTTATGGATATGCTAAGTTTTTCTACCCCATTAGATTCACTTCTAAGGAGACCAAACATAAAATCTCATTATAGCCAAGTAACTTATTAGAACCATATTGTAATGAATTTGCCTAAGCCAGCAAACAACTGATTATGGAAACATACTCCTTGATTTTATATTTCATTTCATTTAATATTTTATTTTATATATAAAACAAAATATTTTATATAAAATATTTTAATACATATATTTTATAGAAATATATAATATATATTTATACTATATAAATAATAAATTTATATTTTAAATAATATAAACAATATCTTATATATTTATTATATATTGTAAATGATATTTTATAATATATAAATAATAAATATATATTTTATTTTATATGTATATATACACATACATACATATGTATATATTTGAGACAGGGTCTCACTTTGTCACCCAGGCTGGAGTGCAGTGTTGCCATCTCAGCTCACTGCAGCCTCAGCCTCCTAGGTTCAATTGATCTTCCTTCCTCAGGCCCCCAAGTAGCTGGGACTATAGGTGTGTGCCACTACTCCCGGCTTATTTTTGTATTTTCAGTAGAAATGATTTCACCATGTTACCCAGGCTGGTCTCGAACTCCTGCGCTCAAGGGATCCACCTGCCTCAGCCTCCCAAAGTGCTAGGATTACAGGCTTGAGCCACCACGTCTGACTATACTCCTTGATTTTAAATATGTTTGCATTCTCTCTTCTTAATTCCCAATGCCATCTTCTTATTAATGCTGTTACATTCTATAACATTTATATGAAACAATTCAGAATGTATTGTCATATTCATCAACATCTACATAGTTTATTTCAGAACATGAGTAATTTAAAATCACTGTGACATCAGCAGTCTTTAAAATACACCATATGTCTTGTGTTTGATTTATGTATAGGATAGAAAGTTTGTACATCTGCAGTTGGCAGGCTAGCACCAGCTACTATTAATCTTTCTGTAAAGCATATAAATATATTTGTTTCTGCCATATATTAGTTGCTTGAATCGGGACTGACATTTAATCATCTGTCCTATATAGTGGAGGTATAATGAGAAGGCCTGGTGAAGGTACGAGACAGCAGCTAAGTTGAATGAGAAAGTAAATGGCCACTTCACGGATTCTTTCTCATGAATCTAATTTTTTTTGTAATTGCTAATTAGAAGACTGATAAACTTATTTACACTGTTCGTAAGTCCCAGGAATTCCTGTCGTGAGGTTGTAGCTTTCTATGCTTTAAAGAACGAGCCGTTTTTACTTTGGGGCAGAACTGGCTGCTATGTTTGTAGCATCTATTTTAATTCCTAACCTCTAGTTCTCATTTTTGATATTTGTTTTTGTCAAGATCCAATACATTTCATTTTTAGCATTTTTAGTCCATTCCTAGAAATCAAGCTAAAGGTTGAAATATCATTTGTAAATTTCTAGGATCAGACAGTTTCCCGAGTCAGGCTTAGAGCTGCTGTGGGGTGCTCATCCACACTCCCAGCTAGCCAGGACCAGTCTTCATTTGTTTACAAATCTTCTCTGTATCATCATCATCTCCCTGCCTGCCAGTCAGTCTCTCAGGTTTTTAAAGGGCAGCTCCTTCCTGTGCCTGGTTCCCCTCCTCTCATTATGTATCCTTACCTCTCCCTCTGCTGTCCAGTCAGGAACGTGTTTTTTACCGTTTTTGAACACAGCATTTGCATCTACATTCAGAAATCCTGTCACCTGATGCCAGTGTGCACCTAGAGACTTCTTTGAAGTGTTTAGAAAATCAAACTAGAAGGTAATTACCAAATAGTTTGTGGTTTTTTTTTTTCCAATTTGTCAAAGCTATCAAATTTATCCCATGAAGATTTTTTACTTTTTTAAAAAAGGGCTTATGTAGATAACATAATTACCTCTGCCCCTCTCTGTCAAATATTTTGGATATTCAGCCTATTCACACCTATCAGTAGGTGTGACACTCTTTAAGATGTAATTTCATGTTGAGTCACAATACTCTGTTTCAAGAAAAGATTTGGCAGCACTGTATGCAGGTGAAGAACCTATGTTTTACTTTTGAGAGAAGGCATCTATTAAAAAGAAAGCTGAGCTTGGGGTGCCAGGAGCTGACCTTGAGTACAAACTCTGCCCTTAAGCTGCTGTATATACTTGAGAAGGCTGCTCTTCTACTCTGAAACTTATTTTTTTTAATCTAAAAAATGAATGTTTTGAGCTAGAGAATCTTTCAGGCACTCCATTGTGGCTCAAATTTTATGCCAGGAATGAACTTACTGTTGTATAGAGGAAAGACCACAGGACTATGGAGCCAGAGGATGTAAGTTTAAATCCTGGCTCCTGCTTTAATCACACTGTGAGTTTAGGCATGTCACTTGCCTTCTCCGAACTTAGTTAGACTTCTGAAAAAAAATGGAAATATAATACCTGCCATGCATAGTCATGACGTACATAGATTAAGTAAGGTTAGCATTTGTGCCAGTTCTTGACATAGTAGTCATCACATAATAAAGCCAGGGTGTTACACTGATATTGCCTAATAGTAGCAATTGAGTGAGGAAGGATTTGTATTTTATTTTTTATAAAAAATTCTAGCTGGGCCATACAGATTGTTAGTCTCAGTGTGTGAGTTCAGACATCTTCCATTGGTAGTTTTTTTTTTTTTTTTTCTCTTGATATAGGGTCTTGCTCTGTTGCCCAGGCTGGAGTACATGATCATGCTCCATGACATCCTCAAATTCCTGGGCTCAACCAATCCCCCTGCCTTAGCCTCCTGAATAGCTAGGACTACAGGCATGTGCTACTATGCATGGCTAATCTTTTTTTTTAAATTGTTTTGTAGAGGCAGGGTCTCACTGTGTTGCCCAGGCTCCACCGCTGATTCTGATGTACAACCAGAGTTGCAAACAATGTTAGGCTTCTGCCTCCACGGTCCCTTTTAGTGTTGATTCTGTGACCTGTAAGGCAGGTGAAAATAAGTTTAGAAAGCTTATTTTAATATTTTAATTTCTGAATAACGTTTATGTTTTAAAGTCTGTTTTATAAGTGACAGATTTGTCAGTCTTTCCAAAGGTCCATTTCAGCTTCCACATTCTACATTTTTCTACTTCAGAGGAGAACAGAAGGGGGGACTTGCTATTGGAGATGCTCATTTAGAGCAACATCTCCCACCAGCTTTTGCTGATCACAACAGTAATGGAAGTGATATTTTCCTTTCTAGTTTGCACAAACCATATACTGAATACTTTTGTCAGGCCACTAAGTAATTTCAGGGTCTGATTATAAAGTCATGAAATGTTAAAATTCCTAGAGGGCAGTAATGTGTTTGACTCTTCCTCTTGTGTCCCTGGCACTTCCTGGGGAACCTGGTAAGTGATAAGGTCTCAGTAAATAATAACTGAATAAATTTAACTTGATCCACCAATCACAGTAGAAGATTAATCCTCTGCTTGGTAAGCACATTTCATAACTCCAGAAAAATAATGAGAGTTAAAAGGCAAAACTTAGATACGAAAATGTTGGTAGTGATGATAGTGAGAATGTTACTACTGTGATTTCCTGAGTACTTACTATGTTCCAGCTATGTTACCGTGATACATGCAATACACATAACATGCATTCATGCACACACATATGCACAAGAAGGTAAAGAAAACCTTTCAAGACTTCATTTTTGCCACCACATTGAAACTGCCACCAATTTGCAGTGTGATGCTGGGTCGGATCCTTGTGAAATGAAGGCAGTGATTATCAGCTTCTATGCTAGGAGAAAATACAAGAAAAAATTCTTTTTGTTTTAGATGTTGAAACCTCACAGCTAAATGTGGTATAAATTAGCATAAAACAAAGGAGGAAATTCTGTTTAAGTTGGGAAAACCTGCATAAGATTTGTTGAAAACAATAAATGTGTCTACAGTGTTCCAGGCATGCTTCTAGACATTTTACATAGTGTAATTCATAAGAGTCCTCTTAAGTAAGTACAATCTTAGCTCCATTTGGAGAAGAGGAAGCTGAGGCCCAGCAAGTTTCTGTGATTTACCCAGATTAGCTGGTTAGTGGCAAAGCAAGGATTGGAACCTAGAAATTCTGGCTCCAGGCAGTTCTTAACCACTCTACTAAAGAGCCTCCTGCTTTACAGGCAAGAAATTGCTCCAGTGCCATAACTGTTGAAGACTGTCTCTTATGCGTAAAGAAATGAATAAAGTATGAAGTCTGTGGGCAAAGTGATGTCTGTAAATTCTTTTTTTTTTTTTTTTTTTTTGAGATGGAGTTTTGCTCTTGTTACCCAGGCTCGAGTGCAATGGCGCGATCTCGGCTCACCACAACCTCCGTCTCCTGGGTTCAAGCAATTCTCCTGCCTCAGCCTCCCGAGTAGCTGGGACTACAGGCGTGCGCCACCATGCCCAGCTAATTTTTGTATTTTTAGTAGAGACAGGGTTTCACCATGTTGACCAGGATGGTTTCGATCTCTTGACCTCATGATCCACCCGTCTCGGCCTCCCAAAGTGCTGGGATTATAGGCATGAGCCACTGCGCCCGACCCTGTCTCTAAATTCTTATCAAAATTTACTGATGATGTTTAGTTCTTAATTCATCATCAATCCAAACAGAAAGCAGTGTCTAATCTCATAATCTAAGTGCATCGTTAGCATTAGTTCTGTATGTGTGTGTGCACGTGTGTGTGTGTGTGTGTGTGTGCGTGCGTGCATGTGTTCCTGAAATGATACAAAACCAATATAATTAGAACCACAGTGAGGCATGCACAGAGAGTTAAACCCAGGTGATCAGGTACTTCTGCTCTTTGCCCTCTGGTCTTGGACTAGAGAATGAATTGTACATTGTACTGCTTAAATGCTTGACTGCCACAATGTCTGAAACTGAGCTGTAGGGCCCCAGAAATGGGAATTCAGGTTGTGTTTAGAGTGATATCTTAATAATGTTGGAGTCTTATATGTTCCCATCAGCAAATACTGCCAGTTCTTCCTTCTGAGTGTACTCAGACTTGGTTTACATCTCACCCCTTCCCTGGCCTCTACCACCCATCGTAGGGCACCTGGCCTTGCAGTGGCCTCGCAACAGGTCTCAGTGCTTCCTCCAATTCACCCCCCAGCTACAATGCTTTAAACTACATTGGATCAAGGCAGCCTCATGTCAGAATAGCTTCCCATCATTAAGCGTGAACTCCAAAGCCCTGTGTCAGGGCCCTAGCACTTACTTCTCCCCCTGTGTGTATTTTGCTTCTCCCAGGTAGCCACAGGACCTCTTCACTCACATCCTTCAGACCGTGGCTCAGAGGTTATTTCATTCCCTTTCATCTGAGAAGTCTGCTCTAACCATTCCTCATAAATCAAGCAGCATCTCCTACGATTATCGTCTGCTCTCGTGATCTTTCTTATGTACTATACCTACCTGTGATCCCCATGAGAGAAGGGACTTGGTTGCAATCACCACTTTATCCCTGCTGCCTAAAACGGTGCCTAGCCCATTATAGGTATTCAGAAAATCATCTGCATTGAATGAAAAGATGAGTTAATGCCAGCCCCTTTGTTTTCCTAAGTGCAATCCCCCAGAGAACTTTCTGAGATGTGAGCATTATCCTGATAGCTGAGGAAATGGGCAGCAGGAGACTGACCACTCCCTAGTCACACAGCTAAAAGGTAACAGCCTGACTCTGAACCCACATCTGTTTGCTTGCAATAGCTGTGTGCTCTGTTCACAGGCCACCCTAAACAACTAGTAGATGCATTGTTTATTGTGTCCATAGGCCAAGATATGGGAGCTTCATGCCAGTGAATCATGTTGGCTCCAAAGCCTGTTCTTCTGCATCTTGTAAAGTAGCCACTATCTCACGATTAAAAGTACATAAGATTTAAATTTCAGTTTCTCATTCCATCTGGCCACACTTCAAGAGCTCAATAGCCACATGTGGCGAGTGGCTACTGTACTAGACAGTGTAGGTAGGGAACATTTCCACCATTTCAGGAAGGCTGTTATACAGCACAGTTCTAGAGCTTTTAAGTATTTCACTCTTGGAAGTGAGAGACTGAATATCCTTTCTTTTACCCTTTCTTTTGTTTTTATACATTTGAATAGAAAAAAAATGTGGAACTGAAGGCACCTTCATGGTTAATAGATTTCTTTTTATGCAGGTAGTAATAAACATAGGTCCTGTTTATTACATTATTTCCATGTTTAGTCACTGCTCCGAGTTCTTCATATGTGTTAACTGGATGTTAGGGAATGCAAGGACTCAGAAGATTTAAGACTTGTAAAGTATAAGTGCTTGGAGGCAGTCTCCAATTTCTCAATTCTGGCATGGTGTCATCAAGTTTATAAGCAGATTACAGGACCTCCACCTGGCCGGGAAGCAGCTCAGCTTTTATATTAGACTGATGTTATTTGAGGAGCTTAAATTAAATTATTTCATAAAGTACCTTTAATCCAAAAAATGGGAGAAACTTCAAAACATAGGAAAAACTCAACTAAAATTATTACATATCAAATATGTATAATCTGTCATGTGAGCTATCAGCAAGTTATAATTTGTCAGAAGTCTATTTTAAAAGGAAGACTTTGAAGTCTCCTTGGTGTGTTTATCTGATTCATTGATTCATTACCTCAAACTAATTGACCTCACTCACTACTTATCTGTGGCACTTCTATTTTCTAATAATTTTGTAAGTTGAGTTCTCTTGTCACATCCAACATGCTGCCTAACATCTTCATAGATGTTAAGAGTTGTTCAAGTTAAAATTAGCAAATTTCCTGGCACTTTCACCATGCTAAACAGGATGGCATTCCAATTTGGTATTAAAGGAGCCTTCTGGCCTTTTTTACAATGCAGTTTTAAGTTACTATTTTGATTTATTGCCATGGTTTAAAGTTATCAAGGATTTTATTTGAGAATTCTTTGTAGACTGATAGGTCACATTTATATTTGAAAAGACTTATAGCAAGAGATGAGATAAATGTAAAAAGGTTTCTATTTTGATTCTTTCATTATGTAATACATAAAAATTATCCCTCACTTTCACATCTTTAGGAACTCTGGTTTCTTTATGGATTTTTGATCTTATGGTTTTTAAACTTAAGTAAGCTTTACTTATTTAACATTTGTATGCAACTCAGACTTTATGGGATGATTTCAGTTATATTTCTGTTATATTCATAATGCAAAGTGGTTGGCACAGCTAAAACTTTTACTTTTTGTTCTACAAGGCAATGTCTCATTCTCCTTGAAGGTAAACTTAATGCATTGAGTTACTTACTTATATGCATTATTTATTACAAATGTGTTCATGTGTGATTTATAATTCTCATTAAGGTGTGGTGGCATCCCTTCCCCTTTCTGGAAGAGTGGTAGAATTTCATTCCCTTGGCTGGCATGCTGTAGAATTATTATTCTGTGCTTTTATTTAAGTGCTGAATTTGAATATAAAGAAGTTGCTTTGTTGTCTCTTTTGGGGGGACAAATTCATTAACATCATGTGCTTGTCACTGTCTAAGCACTGGGAATAGGGCAGCATCATCTGCAAATGAAACAAACAGGCTCCTGATTTCATGAGGCTTTTATTCTAGGGGAATGTGAGAAAGGGCAAAAATAAACAAATGAACAAGATCTTGTCAGCCAAAGAAAAGTGCTGTGAAGCATACTGGACCAGGTAAAGTGAACAGGTGCGGCAGGCCCAGTGGTGAGGGGGCTCTTCTGGAATAGAGGTGAAACTTGAGTGTCTACAGAGAAGGTAACAGTATTTCAGCAGAAGGGGCAATTAGTACAAAGACCCCAAGAAAGAATTGGAGTGGAGATCTGTGTGCCTGGAGAAAGGGGAACGGGAGATTGGGTTGGCTGGTCAGAGACTAGAAGCCAGGACCTGGAGTTCGAATTCCATTTGCAGTGTGAAGTCCAGATTCACATGGTAAAGGGACAGGCTCTCAGTAACATGTTCGGATAGTCCCTCTGGCATATATGTGAAGAATATATTTTAGGGGAGCAGGAGTGCAAGGGGAGACCCATGAGGGCTTTTGCAGAAGTTCAAGCAAGAGTGTCAGCAGCTTGGGCTACAGGGCAGACAGTGGATCACAGCAGTGGGGGACTTGGAACACCTAAAGAATGGTCAGCAGGACTCCATAGGTTGACTGCAGAATGGGGGAGGGCGGGACACACTTTTTCTGTAAAGATCCAAAGGGTCAACATGTTAGGCTTTGTGGGCCCTACAGTCTCTGTCCCCACTACTCCACTCTGCCCTTGTATCGGGTGATATGTAAAGGAATGGGCTGGTTGTGTTCCAAGAAAACTGTATGTGGCCTATGGGCTATGTTTGCCAACCCCAACTGAAGGAAAGGAAAAGGGAGGGAGCCAAATGACCCCAGAATTTTTTACCTTGGCGGAATCTTTGCTAAGATGTGGATCCTAGGGTAGAACCAGGTAGGACTTGAGCTGTAAAATCAAGGGTTTCTTCTCACACATATTAATTGTGAAAGCCCATTTGACATTCAAATGAAACAGAAATGAGGGCAGTTGTCTGGGATCTGGGGTTTGGTGGTTGTGAGGTTAGGTCAGGAGAAATATACATTTATGGGCCATCATTGTTTCAATGAATTCTACAAACGGTGGGCTGTGACCTATTAGTCGGCTGTGAAATCACTGTATTGGGCTATACCCAGTGTTTTTCTTCGAAGTGAAATAGAAAATATCAGAGTATATCACACTCACTAAAGATAAGTCCTTTTTTTATGAAACACTTACTTTGTGTGTACACCCACACATGCATACACGCACACACACACGCACACACACACACACACACACAGTGTTTTATAAAATGGGAAATACAATTTGTAACACATTCGTGTGTGTGTGTGTGTGTGTGTGCGCGCGTGTGTGTGTATGTGTGTGCTTGTGTGAATGTGTTATAAAATGTATTCTCTTGACCAGGCATGGTGGCTCACACCTATAATCCCAGTGCTTTGGGAGGCAGAGATGGGCGGGTCACAGGGTCAGGAGTTCAAGAAGAGCCTGGCCAACATGGTGAAACCCCATCTCTACTAAAAATACAAAAATTAGTCGGGTGTGGTGGCAGGTGCCTGTAATCCCAGCTACTCAGGAGGCTGAAGCAGGAGAATCACTTGAAACCGGAACGTGGAGGTTGGAGTGAGCTGAGATCATGCCACTGCACTCCAGCCTGGGTGAAAGAGTGAAACTCTGTCTCTAAATAAATAAATAAATGTATTTCCCATTGTGGACCATAGTCATGTAAGTTTGTAAAAGACAGACTCAGAGGGTATTTAGAGCCATGGGGCTGATGAGATTACTGAGGGAAAGAGCAGGAAGGAGAGAGAAAAAGTGCAAGACAGAAAGAACCCTGAGGGACATTTCCATTCAAGGGTCAGACTGAGGAGGAGACCCCAGTAAAGATGGAACCACCAGTGCAGATACGCAAAAGAACAGGAAAGAGCCGTGTCACACAGCCCAACAGAAGACAGTATTGCAACGAGATTCTAGCAGCACTGGTGGGTCAAGAGCTGGAGCCCTGCAGGGGCAAAAATGCTGCCCGTGGCATGGCGTCCCCTGACAGCAGGACCCATGAAGTGTTGGCTGTGAATGCAATCAGCCTGGAGAGGCTGGAGAGGGGAGGAGGTGAGATAGGGATTGGGGCAAGCTGTTCAAGAAGATCGGCTCTGAAGTGGAACAAGTACTGGAAAGGGATGTGGCGTCAAAGGAGAGGGCTTTGGGCTTTGTTTTTTTTTTTTTTTTTTGAAGATGGGAGATACCATAGCGTTCTTGTGTAAGGATAGGGATGACTCAAAAGACAGGGAGAAAGAAATGATTGGAGGAGAAAGGAGGATTCATTGCCCTCCCTCTTTGCAGGCGTGAAGTCATTAAGAAGGGGAAGAAGATGGGATGCAACATAGGCGAGAAGGGGTAGGTGTTGGGTCAGTCTGTGTAAATTGTGCAGACAGTGGAATGAGATTTGATCATTCTTTTTGCCCCTAAAAGTAAATTATTGAAATTTCTATTTAGTTGAGAAATAACTATTTAATTTCATAGTCCCAATAATAATAGTGACAAGCCTCTTTCCATTTGACCTATTCTTGTTCTTCATGAAGAATTGAGGATATTATTTTCACACAGCTCTGAAATAAGGAGAAAATAGTACTCACAGTCTAGTTATGGAGGCAAGACTAACAAGTGAGCTTTACCAGCAGTAACATATAGTCTGAGTCTGTGCTGTACATATTTGGATAAGAGGTAGGGGGCAGGGGACGGACAACAGAGTCCACTTGAACTGGAGCAGAGTGCCCCAGCCTCTATATTTTGTTATTTTGGGCCAGACAGTTATTTGTTGTAGGAATCCCTCCTGTGAATTGCAGGATCTTTAACAGCATCCCTGGTCTCTACTGAGACTGGTCACATACCTGCCCCTTTCTCTAATGGTGACAGTCAAAAACATCTCCAGACATTGAAGTTGTCCCCTGAGGGGCAAAATTGCCCTCTGCTAAGAATGTCTGGACTAAAGCAGTGCTTTGAAATCTGGGAAGGATTTAAAGTTACCAGCTTGTCCATGTGCAGTATTTGACATGACCCACTCATGTATTTTTTATCAATCTTTACAAAAAATATTTTCAAACCCAAATGCATTTAGCTGGAACCCACAATTCCAGTTTCTCCCTGGCCTACTATTTCTTAAATCTGTCTTTAATCTTGCCCGCTATGTGCCTGTGGCCCACAGGGCAACTGAGTTTAAGACCCAAAGATAGCATACATAAAGACACCAAGAAAGGCAAGGCTATCATGCTTGAATGCGCAGGCCTGTTGTGGATCCATTTCCTAGGAATTTCTTTTCACCATCATCTCAAAATCCCAGTAACTGGCAACTTTTTTTTTCTTTTTGATTTAATTTATGCTTTAAAAAAACAGCTATCAGACATTTTCCCTCTAACTTTAGAGTTTGTTTCCTACCCTTCCTTTGGTTCCGTGTGAAAATTAACGTACTAATTGTCAGCAACTTTAGATGATGTTTCCCATTTGAAAAGTCTTTGCTATGAGGAATATTATTATGACAGAGTCTTCCTTCCCTTATATGTTTCTTTTCCCAACCTTTAAGTTCAGGAGTACATGTGCAGGATGTGCCGGTTCATTACATAGGTAAACATATGCCATAGTGGTTTGCTACAGATCATCCCATCACCCAGGTATAAAGCCCAGGATCCATTAGCTATTCTTCCTGATGCTCTCACTACACCTGCCGCCCTCCGACAGGCTCCAGTGTGTGTTGTCTCCCCGCCCCCTCCCCCACCGCCTCACTTATATCAGTTTTGTAGCCTCACTTTGTTGAACTTCTCTTTATTGCAAGTGGTATCATCCTGCTTCTATTAGAAACGTTTTCAGCTCTGAGCATTTCAAAACCGATCTGAGGCAGAGAGTTTACCTTGTGTAAAACGTTCCCATCTTCCTTCATTTCCCTCAAATGAAATCACACGTTCTTTACCACCATCTGGAGGGAAGTGTTTGCCATGGGGCTTACTGAGTCTATCTTTGCAGTGTCACCTGTAAAGTTAAAAATGTTTGCCAACATTTACCTTACCTGGTATTTCCATTTTTTTTTGTATTTCTGTTTAAATATTAATCATGTCCCCTATTTGTGAACACAGTCCTTTTTGGTTTAAACATCTTGGTGGAGAATCTTAATGTCTTCAAAAATAGCATGGGCCCTTAGGAGTAAAACATTGCCATTGGCAACATGGAAAAAATGCCCTTTTTTATGTGCCAAGTTGTTACCTGGGCTTATTTCAGACTCTTTTTAATAGTGTTTCTTTTGGCATTTCTAATGTTCTCAATGTTTTTGGTTCCTCACCATATGCAATAAGTGTCATTCAGTCATCCATTCATTCAACAAACTTTAGCATTGTGCTATTTTCTCATTATAGAGAAGTGCCATGAAGGAAACATCTAAAATACAGTGTGGTTAATCATAGCTTCCCCATTGTCTCATGCCTAATCTTTTTCTAGAAATCTCATTTAGTGTATCACCTTTGTCATGAAAAATTCTAATATACCCTTTTTGTGATCTTTGTTTTTGAGGCCAGGTGGTTTAAAGGTCCTTTTACACTGTATCATAGAGTAGCAGTCAAAATAACTAGTAAGCTGCAACGTGGACCAATTATGACTTTGTGATGGCGGGACTTTGATTTCTTTCCCTAGCAGTGGCTATCAATTCTACCCATTCAGCAACCTGAGTTTTTAATTAGGCTTTTATTTCTGCAGTTAGCGTGCAAAGGGGGTCTTGGCATGATGAACCTGTGTTAAGAGCTGTGTTTTAAAAAGCTTTCTTATAGTTTCATAAACACAAATCAGTTTTTAAAAATCACTTGGAGGTAGTTGGAATTAGGTCTGCATGCATCTTACATATTTTTGTTGTTTCTAAATTTAAAAATGACTTAGATTCTCTGTAGTTACTTTTGCCATAGATACCACTTACCAAAGTAGCAGATGATCGCATCGAAAAAATAACAGCACTGCCCCTGAATTAATGGGATTCTATGTTTATGTAGTTTGTCTGCATCTGCAAAGCAACTTTCACTTAGACTTTGGCAACTGAAGGAGGAAGAGAAGGCTGTTTTAAAACCTGGCACTAGTTGCCGGCAGCAGCCCCCTCCCCTGAGTTTTAACAACCAATAATGTCTTCAGATAAGACCAAATGTCCATTAAGGAGCAAAATTAGATGTGCTTGAGAACCACTGCTTTACCCTCTTCAATACCCATTTGCTTTTGCTTGTTATAAATGCTGTGTTCTGTTTTTTGTATACAAATGAAATCCACTTCTGGGTTATTTTTTGTTGAATGTGGATAGAAGAAATTTTGTTGGAGAATTCCTCACTTCTTCTTAGTGTTGCCTCTACATCTACTCAGTAATGGAGTGGCAGTGTAGCCAGCTGTGAGGATCCCCCAGCACAATTTCTGCTATCAGCCAGCAGTGCAGCCTGAGCCAGCCCTGGGCTATGTCTGTGGGCCTCCAGATTATCATCTGAAGTATGGGTAGAACTGCACCCTTCTCAGCACTGTCATGAGGATGGAATAAGACGAGGTCTTGTCACACCTTCAGTGCTGCCTTGTCTGATGGAGAGTTTCTTATTTTCTGACCCCTTGCTCTGTCACATTGAATTGGGTTTCAGGAAGAAGAGGTGGAAGAGAGGCCGAAGCAGACCTACTGTTTTCAGCCTTTGACTTAGTTGTCTGGAGTAGAGAAGAGATTAGGGAAGGTGAAAAGGAAGAGCCTGGAGAGGGCAGGTGGTAGGAGATGTATTCCTTTTGGTCTGTGACAACATGTTTTTTCAGTAAACAAATGAGAAAAACCAGGATGGAGTAGTAGGTGTTTCACAAAGTGAAGACTGTCCAATATGAAAGGTTCTCTTTTATAGGTAATGTTCTTCCTCTTTTATTTTTCTTATGAAAAGATTGTTGTCATTTATCTCTTCCTTTTTAATATTCTTAGTTCTTAGTTTGCAGAAGAAAGAATTGGCAACTTAGGATCCATTGCTCAGTTCTATGTTGTCAAAATCTGCTGGCTTATGAAATGTAAAGTCTAGGAATCACTGCTCTAGGGAAAGGCCCACAGGAGGTTGAGAACAGAACAGAACAGGACACAAAAACAGAGCCGCTGAAGTAATGCATGAGTGGGGCTCTGGCATCCAAACCTCAGGGAGAGCAATGGGAGCTCCCCTCTTTGTTTTATCATTGCTTCCCCCATCTCTTCATTCAAGAAGAAAGAGTTCGCATTCAAGGCCAGGGTTACATTTGTCACTCATGTAATACAACATTTATGGTCACACCCTTTTATGAAGCTCTTTTGTTCTATATAAGTTATTGGAGTAACCCAGAGAAGTGAAATCCAAAGGAAAGACAAAAATTGTATGAACTGAGCACATTCCGTGTTGTCAGGAGCGCCCCAAAACATCCATGGCTGGTTTCTTGTATGTAGAAAGCAGTCTCAGAAACTTTATGACAGCTTTAAAGAATTCATTTCAAGTTGTGTTTGCTTGCATTAAGATCACCATCTGCATTGACGCTAAGCCTGATTAGAGCTTCATTTACCAAAAAACAAATAAACAATAGGAAACAGCCAGAATCAGACAAGAGAGAAAGCAAAAGGATTTAGCATTTATTTTCCACAGTGAGAAACTTGTTGACTTAAATGCTTACTGGGTCAGCATGTATTTCATTTCCATTTTACTTACTCTTCCCTGCCATAAATGCAATGCTCTGTTATACATCTTGTTCTCAGCTAAAGCATTTCATTAAAGGGCCTCACAGTTCTTGCATTTTCCTGTATCTCCAACGTACTTGACCTATAAAAGTTACCTCTAATTGAGGCTCGCCCTGACTGGGATGGTGTGTGGGTTGGGGTGTATGTGGGTGAAACTGATTCCTGTACTCAGCCTTTAGGCAAACCAATTGGTACAGTGAGCATTGCCTCACTGAAACCTGAAATAGCTGAACAAAGCCCAAGTGTCTCCTGCCCCTCATAGCTATATTGGGCAGCAATTCATTAGAAATTGTCATAGTCAAGGAAACAGCGTTTTTCCTTCTAAGTCACATAATCACTTAGACCAGTTCAGATACTGTTTCAGCAAGAGGATTTTTGAAGACATTTAATATCTCCATGGGAGATGAATGGTGCTGCTCACTGTATGTCCTTGCTCTTTGGAAGATCCTGACCCCTCACTAAATGGCTTCTTTAGGTCTGACTTGCAGACACTTTGAATAATGCAGAACTTGAAGCCTGATCACTGTGCTATTATAACCATGACCTATGTTTTCTGAGGCTTATATGATTTCTTAAATTTAAAATATTAGAGTAAAGCTTGATATGGTACCAGGCATGGCCTCTGTTGCAATTAAGCAGTTTGGTAATAAAGCTAATTGAAATTGCCAAATAATATATACCTTTCCAGAGAAAGCTGGAAAATTTCCCTATTTTGCAGAAGTATCTTGTGACAAAAAAGTGATCATCACATCAGTCTGTTGAAACTGCTCAAGAGACTCGTGTATTTGCCCTAAGAAAAGGACCTGAGATTTTTTTTTTTCATCTGCATGTATTTGCTTTTTGTAGGGAAGGGTGAGGCATTAAGAGGCACTGAACCCAGTAAAATATAAATTTGCTTTAGTAAGTAAGGATATGAAGCTATCCTTACCTGAAGATTTAGATCTCAAAGAATCCTTGAGAACATACCCATTTGCTGGGGTGGGGATCTTATAGGGTTTGGTGTTTCCTTCTGAGCTTTCAGTTTATTCTGAGAGGAAAGCTCATCTGTTGTGATGGGAAGTCAGGACACAAGGTGGCACAGCAGAACCTTGTTCTCTGTGCTGAGTGAGGCAGCTGTGAGTTGAGCCGAACCTGGCAGCTCACCAATAAATCAAGGAACAGACCAAGGATCAAGAGCTGTTAAATAGTCACTGCAGCCATCATGGCGATAAAAAGAAAGGCCAAGCATCTCCTCCCCTTTGCTTCATCAGCTCTTCCTGCAGCTTTCAAGGTATAAACTCATTTCATGAGCCCTGCACATTCACACATTTATTTGAGAGATACAGGTATTTATTGAACTGGTGACCAGATACTGTTCTAGGGACAGACCGATAAAATAGACTGGGTCCCCAAAATAGAGACAAAAATAAGTAAACAATAAACAATATAAATAATAGACAAGCAAACAAGGTAACTTTAGAGTGATAGGCTCAATGAAAACAAAGAAACTGGGCTGTGTGAATAAAGTGGGTCAGAAAAGGGCCACTTCAGATCTGCTGGGAGCCTGCCTGGATCCCTGGTTGGCTCTCTGAAGAAGTGATCTTTGAGGAGGGTCCTGAGTGACAGGCAGAAGCCACCCACACATAGATCTGCAGGCATAGAGTTCCAGGCAGAGGGAGCAGCCAGAGAAAATGCCCAGAGAATTGCAAGGAAGTATTTCAGCAGTGGAGGATGCCAGCCTGGCTGGAGTATGTGTCCAGGAAGAGGAATTAAAATGAAAGGCATAGGAAAGATCACATCTAGGAGGGCTTAGTGGGACACTGAACAAAGAATTTGTCTTTCATTGAAACGGTGTTGGGAAGCCATAGGGACATGGAGCCAGGACACTGTACAGTCTGATTTCTGCTGCATAAAGTTGCTCTGGCCTCTGTACGGATAATAAAGAGGATAAACGATGAAGCAGAGATGGGTTTCTGGACTCATGTGGTCATCTAGGCAAGAGAAGGCAGTGACAGTGGAGATGAACTTGGATGGACTCAGAATGTATTTGGAAATGGATGTGGTGGGAGAGAGGAAAAGAAGCCTCAGGCAGGATCTTATGTTTTAGGGGTTTGGTGTCCTATAAGGTTAAAAGCCAGGATATTATTCTGTGTTTATATCTTGGTCTGGAGCCTAACTTACATTGCTAAAAATAAGCAGTCAGAATAAGAAACAACCTAAAAGTCAGTAACGCATAAGAAAAGGGCCCCAGCATTTTTTAACCTATAAGCTTTTCAGCACCAATTACAGTGATAGGTTTCCCTTTGGGGTCGGTGACCTTAGAATAAGGGCCCACACCACATCCTGTTTTTCTAACCCAGAAAAGGAATCCTTATCAGTTTTTTCTTTCGGTGAGCTATTTTGAGCTATTGTTTCATAATCCCCCCGTACATCCTATGTAGTTAAAAATCACACTTTCCAAATTTGTAGGAACTGCATGGGGCTACCAGGCTACCATAGTTTCACCTGTCTTAGGGAGACCTCTGTGGATGAACTGTTATTAAGAGGAATGGGTTACAGAGTCAACTCTTGAGCATTTGCATAAAAAGCAATTCAAATTTGAAATACAGGTAGTAGAAAAGTTGTTGGTATGGTAGTTAAGGAGTCTTCTTAGAGGTAGAAGCATTTTTAGATGAAGACAAGACCTGACTTCTGAATACCACAATTACAAATATTTTTAAACTACATAGAGAGCTTTCCTAGAACCATATGAGAAAATAGCTTAATTCTACCCTTAAAAAGTAGATCTTGGTAGGAATATTCCCTAGGGTAGAAAGATTGACTTCATGGTAGGTGCATCTTGACAAATTAGTGGTTAAGTTGACGGTTCTTTTTCTTTCCCTTCTGGAGAAAAGATGCCATAATTCACTATACTTCTGACTCATTCCATATCTTTTCTGTAAGCCTATTTTTTTAAAAAAAGAAAGAAATATTGTTATCAGGTAGTGTCAGGAAACATTTGCAAGCTAGAAAAAGCTCCTGCCCACTTTGAAACGGAATTTCACAAAGTCTGGTGGCCAGCCAACCTCTTAGCTGAGCACCTTTAAAGATATGCTTCATTGTCCCAAATTAGAGACTGATCTTATATTTTTAGCATGTATAGCCTTGAGTGATCAATGATTTAGGTACTGAGACTTGGAGGAAAATATCAGGGATGTGTTAAGAAATTGATTGTGCATAGACTCCTCTGCTATCTGTAGAAAAGAACTATCTTCCCAAATGCAGGTCACAATTATGAGTCCCAGATACCTTGACCTATTGACCTACCAGTTGCCAGTGGTAGGTTCATGTACTTCATAAAGCTGTAATAAAAATTTTCTGTGAATGCATTTGGTATGTATGAATGGCTTTCAGATTAATCTCATCATAGTAGGCTCTAAACCAAAATAATTAGGAAACCTTTGAATGAGAGTTTAGTATTTAAAAGCACGGGCTTGGCTTTAGACCAAGTATCCCCAGCTATTCAACTGACTGGGTGACATTGGCCGTGTTACTTGACCATTTGTGACTTGGTTTTCTCATCTGCAAAATGAGAAGATATGAGTACTTAGAGAGCAGGTATGAAGAATCAATTTATGTCAAAGACAGGCTCTCAATATTTAGTTATTTTTGCACTCAATTTTCAGCTCTTTAGGTGTACTTCACTTGTTTTTGAGAGCAGCAGCAATAGAATCATCCATGTCATTTCAATGACACCTTTTCTGGAGTGACGATTTATTTCTCAGGAATTGCATGAAGACAATTCATCCGTCTTACCCAGGTCTTTGAGCAGCCGAAGGTATTGATGACTTTGGGTCTTCTTCTTACCTGTGCCAGTTCAAGGCTTGTTACTTTGAGGTGAAAGGCTCTGTAAGCCATCAGCAATCATCAGCTTTGCAAGCCATTTATTTCTCCTGGGACATATTTATTAGACAATGTGTACTGTGTAATTGAAGCAGACTTCTCCATAGCTATAAAACCAGTACGACTATGTTCTTAATCTTCAGAAGATGCCAGCTGACACTGCCTTGGGAGCTACTTATTTCAGACATCTGAAGTCCAAACATCTCTCTAAATTATGATGGTAAAAATGCTCCATAATGACCATTATTAAGTCCCCAAAGGAAAGAATGTCTTCATCTTTTTGGAGACATTGGGTCTGATACTTAGGTTCTTGGCAGCTGGTATCATATTTGCATTAAAAAATTACACTAAGGAGTTATGATGGTATTTACCAAGAAGAAGGAGAAAAAAAAATCAAAATCAAACATGTCCAAACTAGGATCATTTCTTCATGTCTTTTTAGGGATTCAATTTTGTGATACGTAGTGTTTATAAAGTCCTTCAGTGAAAGTGTACTCTGGTTTCAGGTTGGCCTTGAGTTTATGCTGGTACACTGACTTAGCTAAAATAAAACAGCAACAACAAAAAATATCCCTATTATTCACTCAAGCATCAATCATTGCATGTGTTTCCTACCCACTCCCCCACCCCATGATTAAATGCTAGC